GCATACCGTGCGGTCCGACGTCGGACCGCATGGCACGCTCGACACCGTTTCGGGCGGGGCGAGTCATGTTGGGGCGCCGGGCGATGTGGTTGGTGCACGGGCGGAACTGCGCCCCTGCGTGCGACGTAGCGGAGGGGGCGTCGTGGGAGCTTAGTTACCCTCGGGGCCTGTTTGCTTGCTACGTGTGGGGCTGTCGGACGGTAAGCCGCTGCTGCGTGTGCCCAGCGTGCCAAATATAGCCTCCGTGGCGGAGGTGGTGAGGTCGGTGCCGCTGGCTGCCTTGCCCGCCGACCGTTGCCCTGGCCAGCCACTGCGTCCTTTTTCTGGGCCCCCCCGTGCCGCTTTTGGTATGGCCATGCCGTGTGGCTTGGCCGTCTTTTGGAAAGCATGGCACTTCTTTGCCAAATTTTCAGAACCCCTGTCCGAAAGCTACCCCTGGCGGTATGGGGCCGATCCGGGCGCCGCGGTGGAGCGCCCTGAAACCGAAGGCAAGCCGGTCCCATGGCATGGGGATTGGCCTCGCGCGCTTTTGCTTTTCTGTGTTTTTTCTTTGCGCGCCGGCACCCTTTGCAAAGCTTCCGCCACATAGAAACCGGCGAAAAGGTGGCGGCCGCTTTCGCGGCCGGCCAAATGCTCCGAACGGAGCCCCGGCCCTGTCGTGTGGCTTCGCTTTTCTGATTTGCCGCGAGTTTTTTGGGGCGCTCTTTTGCGCGCCCCAAATCGCCAGAACCCCACGCGGCCGGCGCCTCAGCGGGGTGCCCCTTTTCTTTGTCGGCCCTCCTGTGTCGAGAGTATTATCAGCCGGCGACCGATAGAACCCGGCGCCGGCGGTTCGTTGAAGTCAAACAAAGCCCAACAGGCTGGCGCGCTTTGATCTTCCTCATGTGGAAAAGCGCGAAACAGCAGCACTCACCGCCGGCAGCTTTTGGCCGGTGGTTGCTTTGCATTAAGAAAGCTGCCAGGGTCGGGCCGTTTCGCGGTGGCGGCCCGCCGGCGGCGGGAGGCGCGGGCGGGCGCCGCGGTTCGCGGTGTTTGTGAGGCTTGGGCGCGCGCGTTTTTTGGCGAGGGCGCGTGCTGCCCGGTGCCCGGTTGCGTCGGGTTTAGGGTCTGGCGGACCGGCCCCCTTCCCTGTGTCGGTAGCCCTCCTCCTAGTCCGTTCCCGGGTAGGCCTTCCGGGCCTGGGGGGGGGCGGGTGGGAGGGTGGGTGCGATGGGCGGTCATGGTCTTTTTCTTTAGGGCGCCCGCGCCGGCAGCCGTTGGCTGGGTGCGGTCGGCGGGTGCCCGGCGCGCGCGCACGCCTCGGCGGGTGGAAAGGCGGCCGCTCGGGCTTCGCCGATCACCCGCGGGACAAGAGGAGGCGTCGGCGCCCAAGACCTCGCAGGCGCCCCTGTTCTGTCGCTACTTGGAGTGTCTTCGTTGCGTTTTTTCGTTCTGACTCGCTTTATCAAATCGTTTTCAATACCCTGAAATCCTGAAAAGTCAAATGAAAAGCTTTGGAAAAGTTCGAATCGCCCGCCAATTAGGCGTTTTCTTTTGTAAGAAGGAGGAAGGGCGGGGCAGGGGTAGCGCTCAGGAAGAGTAGCGCGACAGGAGATCAGTGCGCGCGCTACATAAAGTTGTAGGGGCAGCAGCTGTAGACAGAAAGCAGAAAGGCGCCTCGGGTACACACAGAGCAGCTGCCTGCCAGCTCTGAAGTAAGAAGCCGACAGGCCTTCTGACACCTGCACAGCGGAAGCGGAGCGGAAATGTGGCGACCCAAAGGCTCAGGCAAGTCGAGGCGCCGTCTCCGGTGCGTGATAAACTACCTAACAACACTGCGAAGCGGCCCCGCTGATCATGCGGCCCCGGCGATGGGGCAAGTGAGTGTCGTGGTGCAGACATTCGCCGGGCTTTTGCGTTCGTATTGTGGTGGCCCGGCCCTATTTCTACACCCAGAACACCTCCGGGGCGTGGGGACTTCAGTTGCTGCGCCCGATCATGCGCGCGCTAATCTATCGAAGGCGTCAGCCGCGGGATGACGATCGATGGGGGGGGCCGGGCGATGGAGGGGCGGCGGCCGAGTAAAAACGCACCAAGGCAAGGGACGGGCGGGCCGAAGTGGTTGGGCTTCGTTCTGGCCGTGTGCCAACGCAAAAGAAAAGCAGAAATATCTTTTGGCGCCCCTCCGCCCAGCAACTACGCAAAAGAAGCCGGCGCCGGGGCTCGCTTGGCGGGCCTTCAAGCAAAGCAGGCAAAGCTCCAGGGCAGAAGGCCCGGGGGAGCGAGGTCCCTTCCGGGCTAGCCAAAGGGGGGGCCTTAGAGGGGGCCTCCGGGGCGGCCTTCCCCCCGGGGGCCGCAGGGCTGCCGGTAGGGCCTCAGGCTCGGGCATTGGCCGGCGCAGGGGCTTGCTTGGCGGGCCTTCACGCAAAGCAAGCAAAGGCTCAGGGCAGAAAGCCCGGGAGAGGGAGCGAGGGCCCGCCCGGCCCGGCCAATGGGGGGGGCCTCGGTCGGGGGGGCCCCCGGGGCTTCTGTTCGGGCGGGCCTCGCGGGGGGCCTCAGGCCCGGGCATCTGCCGGCGCCGGGGCTCGCTCTGCGGGCCTTCAAGCAAAGCAAGCAAAGCGTCAGGGCAGAAGGCCCGAGTGAGCGAGGGCCCTTCCGGGCGGGCCTTAGGGGGGCCTCCGGGGGGGACCTCGGGGGGGGCCTCCGGGGGGGCCTTCGGGGGGGCCTTAGGGGGGGTCTCCGGGCTGTCATGAGGGCCTCAGGCTCGGGCGTTTGCCGGCGCCGGGGCTCGCTTGGCGGGCCCTCAAGCAAAGCAAGCAAAGTTCCAGGGCAGAAGGCCCGAGGGAGCGAGACAGGGAGGGCCCTTCCGGGCTGGCCAGAGGGGGGGGCCTCGGCCGGGCGGGGGGGGGCCTTCGGGGCGGCCGCAGGGGGGCCGCAGGGCTTCTGTTCCATCGGGGGGGTTTTGCGGGGGGCCTCCGGCTCAAGCATGATTGAGCCGGCGCCGGGGCTCGCTTGGCAGGCCTTCAAGCAGAGGGAAGCTTCAGGGCAGAAGGCCCGAGGGCGCGAGGGGTTCCGGGCTGGCCAAAGGGGGGGCCTCAAGGGGGGCCCTAGGGGGGCCTTTGGCGGGGCCCCCGGGCTGTCAATAGGGCCGCCCGCTCGGGCATTTTCCGGCGCCGGGGCCCGCTTGGCGGGCCTTCACGCAAAGCGAACAAAGCTTCAGGGCAGAAGACACGAGGGCCCTTCCGGGTTGGCCAAAGGGGGGGGCTTTAGGGGGGGCCTCCGGGGCGGCCTCAAGGCTTCGGCTCGGGGGGGCTTTGCGGGCGGGGGGCCTCGGGCTGGCTCGGGAATGTGGCGGCGCCGGGGCTCGCCTGGCAGGCCTTCAAGCAAAGCGAGCAAAGCACCAGGGCAGAAGGCCCGAGGGGGTGAGGGCCCTGCCGGGCTGCCCAAAGGGGGGGCCTCAGGGGGGGCCTCAGGGGGGGCCTTAGGGGGGGCCTTAGGGGGGGCCTTAGGGGGGGCCTCAGGGGGGGCCTTAGGGGGGGCCTCAGGGCTGTCAATAGGGCCACAGGCTCGGGCATTGGCCGGCGCCGGGGCTCGCTTGGCGGGCCTTCCCGCAAAGCAAGCAAAGCTTCAGGGCAGAAAACACGAGGGCCCTTCCGGGCTGGCCAAAGGGGGGGCCTGGGCAGGGCGAGGGGGGGCCTCCGGGGCGGCCTCCGGGGGGCCGCAGGGCTTCTGTTCGGGGGGGCTTTGCGGGGGGCCCCAGGCTCGGGCATGTGCCGGCGCCGGGGCTCGCTTGGCAGCCCTTCAAGCAAAGCAAGCAAAGCCTCAGGGCAGAAGGCCCGAGGGAGCGAGGGCCAAAGGGGGGGCCTCAGGGGGGGCCTTAGGGGGGGCCTCAGGGGGGGCCTTAGGGGGGGCCTTTTTTGGCTCTGGGCGTCTGCGAACACGAAAAAAAGGGGGGGCCTAAGGGGGGGCCTAACCCCCCCCCTTTGGGCAAAAGGGGGGGCCCCAGGGGGGGCCTCAGGGGGGGCCTTAGGGGGGGCCTTTTTTGGCCTGAGGGGGGGCCTGAGGGGGGGCCTCAGGGGGGGCCTTAGGGGTCGAGGGGGGGCCTGAGGGGGGGCCTAAGGGGGGGCCTGAGGGGGGGCCTGAGGCCCAGAATAGCGCTAATGATCATTATTAGTCTTGTAATCCATGAGACAATCTATCTCTCGGAATTCTAAATAATAAATCTATGGATCTGGACCTATCTATGATTCGACATCATTCCTCGATGATTCTAAATAGAAAAAATAGATATCCTGTGAATCCGATGGATTCAGATTGATTGATTCTTTCTCGATGGGATTTGATGTATGAGAAATGATGGAAAAATTTTCTGAGTCAGATTTTGATTCGATTTTCTCGATGGGATTCGATTCAAAATAGATAAAAAAAATATTTTATTTTTAAATCAGATCCAGAATCCCGATATTATTCGATGAAAATACATCCTCTATCCTCAACCATATGATTATGAGAATGAAACGACTCTATGATTGAATATAAATCCGAGAAACACCCTATGTTTCCAATCGGATTCTATCCAATCGGATTCGATGAATTTAACTAAGAAAAAATAAAACAATAACCAACACTAAGCGACAACACATGACAGATTCATTTGATATCTTCTTTAGTTTCTGGAAATAATCCGAGCAAGATTGCTTCAAGATCACGACCCCAAAAAAATTTATTTTTCATTTTCTCAATTTCATCTCCTCCAACAAATATAACGACCTCTTATTTCGATGTGATTTTTTCTTGAAAATATTTATCATCGAATCAGGGTGGTATACAATGAATCAATGGATTGACATTCTGATGATCTGATGAAAGATTTCGATGAAGCAAAAAAATTTCAGAAGAATCAATTGCATCTAAGTATTTATTTTTGTGTGCGAAGATTTAGGTGGTCGTTTGTGTTTCTTGGTTCCACAACGCCCGTCAAAAAAGTCGCTTCACACATGATGCACATGTGGAAAAAAATTGCAACCCGAAAAGGGCGGGAATTTCATGGCTTCTTTGGTCTGTCTCTGTGTGCTTTGATGTCGGCTCCAAAAAATGCACAACATTCGTTGATCTCGCGGGTCATCTCTGTGTTTTGATTTTCATATGTACACAATATCGATATTCATCTCTTCTTGCTTCTTCAGGGCCTCGTCGTGCTTGTTTCTGTTATCCTGTGACTTCACCTTCGCACTTCCATTTCCTTGGAGCGAAGGGGTATTTTTGCCCTTGTTGCTTTCTTCATGCTGCACGGCCTGACTTTCAAAAATCTTATCAAATTCAATTGCTAACCCAAAAGTTCTAATTTCAAATGGATTCAAAGTGATGCTTTCAAGAAGGGGATCAAAACTTATTCGTGTTTCAACATGAAAGTCGTGGTCTGCTCCTAGTTGTAGCGTGGAAGTTGATGGAGATGGCAATTTCTTTCCGATCGCTTGTTCGCCGCCTCCTTTCGTATACACCGCAGACATGTCTGGGTCTGGAACGTTGTGATGCACACCTCACTCGTCCTGGTGCTGGATGCATTACACTACAGCGACTGACCACGCAATCCAGCATGAAAATTCTTTGGGCTGCTATGGACTTATGATGTTGGGATGTGCCGTATGCCGCATGAAAGATGGAAAGCACAATAGGGTTAGGGAACAGTGTCTGTACAACATGACAGGCAAAGAAACCTTGTTTGCTTGTTTGCCTTTCTTTTTGTGAATCTTCTTCTTCATGCAACTGCCGTCAATCAAGCAACATGCCATAGTCTTTCGATCTTCCCGACCCAGACGCCTCTGCATTTTCCTATCTTGTGTTTCTTATCCAATTTGGCGCGTCTTCCGCCAGTTGATTGGCCGACAGACTGAGTTCCCAGATGCTGATTGTGATCGTCGTAGGTAGAGATGAGTTGGTTCTTGTTCTTGACTCGTCCTCTACTTTCAACGTTTGAAGATGTTCGACCTGGGATGAAGAAAGTTCCAACTCGCCACTTCTTCCGAACATCTGTAGTGGCCTTTCTTGCTCTGGTCGTGCTTCATGTGCCCCTTCTGAGCCATTTGCCTTTGTTTTCCTTTTTCCTTTCTGCTCTTTCGGGTCTTCGTCGTTCCTGTCCTCATAGAAAGATGCCAGTGCTGCCTTGGTTGTTGTAGAAGTTGTACTAGAAGGCTCAGCTCTGTTGAATCTGATGTCCACCAACTGCATCAATTTATTCGGCAGGACGAAATCGCGTAGCAGATTGACGCTTTTTGCTTCTGTATCGCAAGAAAAAACAGCTTCACTGTAAACTTGTAATGCAGAAAAAGTATCTGAGAAGGGTTTGTCTTGCTACACCTACACATGCAAGACACTAGATTTTTAGCTTTGTTTTCCCATTCTCTTCGGAATCTCGCATGAAAAATTCTCTCTGTGATGTAGGACAAACCTGTGATGCAAAACTTGCAAAATCCTTGCAGTGAAGCACTTTTTTCTTACGATATTCTGATGAAAGTCCGTTGTGCCCGAGACGGAGGAGATAGGATTTGTTTATCTGCCGGTACTCGTTTGCTGCAGCTAGCGGCAGCGAGTTGCTCATCTTTTTCATTTTCATGAGACTGCCCCGTGTTGTCGCCTCGTTCTCTGCACTGTCTATTTCCTTTCGAGCAACGATCCTTCGCAACCGTTCCGCTTCTAGGAGTTCGAACGTCAGCAACTGCAACGATGGGTCCCAATCGAACTTCTTTGATGCTGCTTGTTCCGTTCTTGACGTAGCAGCACCGCCAGTGCTGGTTCTTGCAAGAACGGTAGCGTCGGCGGTTCTTGATTGCTGCTCCTCGTTAAGAGGGGTCTCGAGCACGACGCGTTCATTCTCTGGGTCTGGATCCTCTCTACTAGCTTGTTGATGACTATGAGCCGCAAGTAAAACCAGTGGCTTCGCGTACATCTCTTCCTGCTGTGCGCGCCAATGAAGTGTTTGATGTTCATTTCCTGCAGTTTCTTTTTTTACTTTTGCTTCGCCTTCAGCATGATCGGGCGTTGTTCCTGTGCTAGAGAAAGTACTAAATCCCCCGCCGCCCGTAGCCGAAGATTCGGGGGGAGAAGAAAACGGCACCACCCAATGCTCACCGACCACGCGGAGCCGCCGGCCGTAGTGCCTCCCGCGGTTTTCCGGGTTTGGTTCAGTCTTAGGGTCGTAGCTAGTCACGAACTCCGTCTCGTTTAACGGTTCGCCGACGCCGCGTGCGTCGTCGAACAAACAGCTCCGGTGGGTCATCAGCTCCAGGTGGCCTTTGTACAGAGACGCTCCGCCTTGGGCCGCATCGGTGAGGATGGTGAAGGCATCTTCTACTTCGGCCGCGGAAGAGTCCGGCGCTGTTTGGTAATTGTTGGTAGTTGATGTTCGTCCACCCGCAGTGGCATTGTCAGCACTTGTGGTAGCTGCACTTGATTTTGAAGATCGTGAGGCAGCACCTGAACCACCATTGCGTCGTGTAGCGTCGGAAATATCCGATCTGGACGTCCCTTCTTGCTTTATCGAAATCGCAGCCACGACGGGGTAGTAGTTTCCGGCGATGGGTTCGCCTTCGTCCGTGAAGTTGTAGGGGGTAAAGTCCCTGCCACCGTCCGTGACTCGCTTCAGCATTTCCCGGCCATTAGCGTCCGTGTAGAAGATATTCTGTCCAGTTTCCGCCTCCACGTTTTCCACGTCGGTGTTCCATATCAAATGTAAAAATGTCTGGGTCTGGAAGAATGCGCGATATATCATGCAGCTTTTCCATGAGCCATGAGGTCTGGAATGCAGGACCTAGCATGACAGATTCTGTGCGATCTTTCTCATGCCTATCCTGCATGAGAAACTGCCCCCCGACTTGGTCAAAACTGGACGACTTTTGGTAATCATGCAACACAGATTTTTGCATGCTTCAGATTTAGCATGACAAGTTGCATTCTTCCAGACCCAGACATTTTTACATTTGATATTCCAGCTGGTTACCAGTTCCGTGGCATCCGGTAAGGGGCCGTTGATGTGCGTGATCTCGATCCGGTTTCGGAGTAGCCGTAATCTTATGCATCTTTGCAAAACTATCGCAATCGTACTAGCATACATCAATCGCATAACAAATTGTCTCAAGAGGAAAACAGGAATCTCTCATGCAGATTCACGTAGAAAACCAGATCTGTAATGCATGATTGCAATTTTCACCATACTTTTGCAATGCATAACTCTCTGCTGCACGTACCCCTCTGCGTACTCCTGCCGCACTTCGAACTTGTCGACCTTTTCAATCTTCTTCACTTTCAGGAACCACTGGCTATCGCCCGGATTGGGGCGGAAGATGTACGCGCCTGTCTGTTGCACGGTGTTATTTTTGATCCCCTTGTAGACCTTCCAGCGCTGGTGTGCGTGCCGCGTCTGGTTGGTTTTCTTATTCAGAATCCGGCAGATTTCCCCGCTGCTCTGGCAAAAGTGAACCTGGAGGTAGTCGTTCTCCAGAAACAAATCGATCTTTTCGGCTCTAGATGTAGTTTGGTTTTGGGAGCTGCTATTTGTATTTCCTCGCCCCGTTTCTCTGTTTGCTGGTTGATGTGCATGCCGTCCACGTCGTGCATGATCTTCCACTTGTTCCACCGCTGTTTTTTTATCCAACTCCCTCACCACGCAGGATTTGAAGGCAAGCCCGGGGAGGGACAGTTGGAAGCTGAGCACGAACGGCAGCGCGTTTTTTGCCGGTTTCGCGTAGTTACCGGTAGTAAACGAGGAGATCGGGGTATTGAAGAAAAAATGAAAGTCGACTACAGTTACGAAGACATAATTTTCTACGCGGGGCACGGTCTTTGGAAGTAGCAAGGTGGAAAATTTGCACTTGCATCGCGGCGACAATCATAATAGAGGGAAGTTACGCAGAAGACACGAATCAATGCAATCAGACTTCTATCTGAGCACCTTTGCCTTTTTTGGTGGTCCTAACATACTTACACATTTGATCTCAATATTGTCTTGCTTGTCGTGCAAGAACGCAGTGCGCAACTGTATTAACAAACCGGTTTTTCCGTTTCATACGGGTATGCCGTTATGATATCTTTGTCCTTCCCAATATCCTCCGCGCAGCTGACTACCACAGGTTTCGCCGTGGGTACCGGAATTTCGATAGTGCTGACCCGACTTCTCGGCAGTGGGTTCCAGATTTTCATCTGCAAAAATGCTGATCGACTCCTCTTTGCGTTCGTGTAGTAGAAGTCTTCGGTCGTGTTGTTGAGAAAAGTTTTCGTCACCCCGCACACCGTCTCGTTGCGGAGGATACAATTCTGCCAAACGACGTCATGCGGCTGTGCTTCGCTTGCTTTTCTTCTACTTCCTTCACGCGCAGACACCCGGAGGTGGACCCCCTCTCGTTCATCTTGGACTTGGACGACATCTATTATTTCCCCAGGACGAGACACAGCAAACCCCGGCAGCTTTTCCAGCACCTCGGGAGACAACGCAATCTTTTCCGCGCTCTTCATGCCCGCGTGTAAGCGCTTGGCGTAGTCTATCAGATGCAAAAGTGTCTGGGTCTGGAAGGTTGGAACTTGTGATGCTGCATTTGGATATCTAAAAAATTTGTGTTGCATGAGCAGCAAAAGGATTCTAATTTTTGCTACGCGGAGAGGGCATTTGTCATGCGGAATAGGCATCAGGAGGCCGTCTAAAAATCTGTGATGCTAGGTCATGCATTACAGACATCCTGGGTGGTGCAAACCCTGCATTACAAGTCTCAAAATTTTCCAGACCCAGACATTTTTGCACTTAATATAGTCGAAGGTGACGTGCTGCTTCTCCGTCCCCGTCACCGCATCGTGGTGCTGCGCAATGCCCAGCGCGTCCGCGAAATTTAGCAACTTGGGGTTCCATGTGTGCGACAAGGCCGAAAACTGCTTGAAGACCTGAAACAAACTGGAGAAGTGCCGAATCATGCGCTTGACCGCCGGTCGGGAGGTGAAATACCCGGTCCAGAAGCCGTGTTTCCGGTCGGCGTAGGGAAAAAAGTCGGTATTCTGTTTGCTCGGGAAAAGGGTAGTAATAAGTGGGTCATCTTCATCGTCGCTCTTTATGTCATTCTGCGACATCATCTGTTCGCTGGATGAGGACCTGCTGGTAGTTCGCCGCAGCTTCAGCATGGGCTGCGTTTTGGATTTGGTTTCGGACGAAGACGTGGACGTGAGTTGTGGTGAAGATCTGTTGACCAAGTGCTGGCCGTGCTTGTTGTCGCGGGAAGGAGAAGACGAAGATCGAGATCTGTTTCCATGCCGTACAGCATGATAGTGCTCCCGCTCCTCTGCTTCTTTCGCGGCGACGTAGTCCTCCATAGTGGAGTAAAATACTTCGATATGACAGCGCACAAATCCCCCGCCTCCCCCTCATTTTTATAGCATGTACGGCAATACAAGCGCCAGCGAGAATGCAGGTTCTGCATGACAAATTTGCACAAAATTGTAGTGCTATTTGGTCTGCCAGAACTTGTCATGCAAACAATGCTAGGAGGCACAGTCTGTCACTGTCTGGCTTGGGTATTTTGCATGACAAATGAGAGGGAGGGAAAGTCGTGCACATTCATATTCGACCCTTTGAGATTCAATGTCTTCACTGTTTGTCGAATTGTACTTCAAATTCATCCGTCGGATCAGCTCATATCAAATGCTAAAGTGTCTGGGTCTGGAAGAATGCAAGATTTGTCATGCATATTTCTCATGACCCATGACCATGCCTCTAATGCTTGACCTAGCATCGCAGACTTTTAGAGGGCTTCCTGATGTACATTCCGCAAGAGAAATGCCCTGTCCGTGTAGCAAAAACTGCACCCCTGTTGCTGGTCAAGCAATACAAATGTTTAGTTTTTAGAGTCCAAAAACAGCATGACAAGTTGCAGTCTTCCAGACCCAGACATCTTTACAATCCATAGCTCATCGGTGTTCACGAAAATTTTTGTCGCGTTGCTGTACCAAAAGTCCGATCCCCATGTCATTAGAATGTTGTTGCCGCGCGTCTGGTATGGACTGCAAACGTATAATCGTACTCGTATAAATGCATTACAAATTTCCTCAGCGTGAGAAATAAAATTTGTAATGCGGATGTGCCTCAAGAAACAGATTTGTAATGCAAGACTTGCATTTATACGAATACGATACTTTTGCACAGGATATCTGGCTCGCCTGCACCGCCGTGTAGTTCTTGAACCTTTCCACTATCATGGTGTTCAGGCTTTCGTTTCGCTGGGTCTTGTCGGGGTTAAAATCGAAGACCGGGTTCGTCTCTGTATCGCACAGCTGGTCCCACCAAAAACCCATGGGCGGACCGTAGTTGCCCCCGTAACTACCGGTGAGACCGGTGAAAATCTCTGAAGTCCTCGCACTGGTTGTAGTCCTCAACCTAGACTGCCGCGCCAATGTGGCTCTATGAGTTTCTCGTAGCTCTTCTTTCCCCTGAGCCGGACCTGCTCCGCCGTGTGTTGTCAGGTGATTTCCTAGCTTCATAGCTGGAGGTGCGGCCGTTTTTGTCCAGACAAACTCGGCCTCCTGGTTCGCGACTCGGTGCTCCAAGTCTTTGTAGTCGATTCGGCCAAAAAACAAGCCCGTGAAGCCCAATTTCGACCCGAACAAGTCAACTTGCAGGATGGAGTGGCCGAAGGGGTCCAGCTGCCATCCGATTTTTGGCTTCACTCCAAATTCTTTCAGCAGAAACCAGTGCCCGAGTGATGTTTGGTCGATCATGTCGAGGAAGTGCGCCGTCGCCTCGTCGTGCATCACCCACCCTCCGTTGAGAAACTGGAACCTGCCGGCCTTGATCAAGGCTTTCAAAAAGTCCCTCCGCGTTTCGTTTTGGTTGGCGTACCATCGTTGGAAAAAAGCCTGCTCCACGTAGTGAAACGTCCGGTCGGCCGTTTTGTTGATTTCGCTCAACACCGAGTCCAGGATCATGCTCACTCCCGCATCTTGGATGGTGTTATTCTCGTGCAGAAAATACTGGTTCACGTTTTTCAACCACCCCACATCGTCGTGGGTGTGCGGCACAAGGTGCACGCGGAGCGGGGGAGGCGCGGGGCGGGAAGCCGAAGCCGAAGCCGCTGCTGAAGTTGCGCAGGGTGCCGTCGCCCACGAAGCGATAAAGAGGATCGCAGTCAGCATGTTACCCACTTGCTCATAGATTCTAGCACCACTTGTACTGCGGCGGGGGCGCACAGGTGACTCCCTCCTCGTCGAGGACGAGGTCATTCTGGTATGGTATTCCGTTGCTCGGACGGGCTTGAAATGCAAATTCTTATATGATTTTTGCCTTTTTGTACTGTACTTGTTCCAACTACTTCTACAGCTGCGAATCGTACTTCTAAGTATCACACTGCACAATAGAAGTGAAAAAAAAGGACCAAGTTGTATTTTGTTTGAGTTTGTGACAGAGAAACTATACTCATAGCGAAAAAAAATCCGGCGAAAAATGCTCGTGTCCAAGCGTCCGACCAGTATTGCGGACAGAATGATTTTCACTTTGTCCCCTCATTTCTTATGGTTGTGTTTGCTCCCTGTCCCTGTTGAAGTAGTCGGCGCCAACATTTTCTTGCCCTTCGACTGTGGCGCTTGTATCCGTCTGAGCCCACTCTCGACAGCACTTATTAGGAGTGCCGCTTTCATCCTGCTCATGTCCTGCTCTCAGCTGGCGCTCTAACTGCCCCTGTGGTCGCGCTCAAAAGTTAGTTCCTGCGAGTGAAAGACAGGAAGGAGCACGGCAGCGAAACAATAACGAAGTTTTTATATTTCCCGTCAACTCCACCAAACTAAAATGATCAAGCTTTTTTCTACATTACTAGGAACAAGAGAGCGCGGAGAGAGCCATGAAAGGAGGATGAACTTCGTCGGTGTCACACATCACGACGGGTTCAGCATATTCCGGTTGAGATGCTGGCCTCCTCGTTGCACCACATACAGTGACTCTGTTGGCGAACATGAAGATGGCGATTCTCACGATAGATGGTGTACTTATTGTTCTTCTAGATAGAGCCCCAAGAACCCATAATTCTTGTTCCGATTTTATCATGTTCATGGCTCGTCCTGTAAAATGTTGTACAGTCAGAAGAAGATCAATACTTTCAAAGTCTCTGGTTTTACGCGGAAGCTGCTACAAATTGCAATGCAGGTCCTTTTTCGTAGTTGCAGTCTTCCGCTTGATCCTCCTCCAACGCGGGAGGTGCTAACTCAGCAGTGCATTTCCTGCAAGAGCACAGAAAATTGTATTTTCGCAGGAGCCACGCGCGTCTTTCGCTTGCCTTTTTCGCCCTTAGCTCTTCACTCGTGTAGCAGATCGTGAGCTCCTCACCCTCTGCGATGTCCTATGAGGTGCAAACGTGTCTGGGTCATTTTATTGGCTGGCGCAAACTACTTGTGATGCTCTACTTTACCCGTGGTCAAAGACAAAGACGCACACGCATCTTTCATGCATGAGTCGCAAAGGCTGCCCACGTTTGGCCACGCTGAGCAGAGCGGAAGATTTCTCGTCTTGTAGAGTATGCATGATTTTTCCAAAGGGTTGGCACCATCACCTGTCATGCTACTAGCAGGGGGCCCTGCATGGCACGGCACCTTCACCATCAGCACCTTCCCGACAAAGACATGTTTGCACGATTGGATATGTCCCGAGTCGCAACGATGCTCGGCGTGTCGCACAGCGCGATGGAATGCAGATATGTGGTCTGGGTCTGGCAGAGTTTTACCCGACTTCTAAGGCCTGGCTGCGAGAAGAAACGAAATTATCATGCACGTCGCGGCCCTACACGGAGATTGCCACTTGCGCTTGAGTTATTTCCCTGTCATGCAACAATGCGACTCGTCACGCGGCTTAAGCAAGAGCAAGACGTTGTTATCGCCACAAGAGGACTTCTTGTTGATACACGCGGCCTCGTATTGGACGCGGCCTCGTTTTGGAAGCCGGCACTCCACGAACCTATCATCCGCACTCGCACAAAATTAGCATCACAACTTGTTTCCAGATCCAGACCACTATATAAATTTGCAATCGAATAAGAACCCGCTGCTTGCAATTCGGTTCGCAACTGTGGTTCAAACGCGAGATGTCCTCGAAAATGCCACCCTCCCGGCCGTCCCCAAAAGCGTTCGTTTTCCATATTCCCCCGGGCGTCTTCAGGTTTTCTTCCTTGAGCCACAGTCGCTCCACGACCGTTGCGGTGTCTTCTCTCGATTCTTCGGAACTCCTCCCTGCCTCGGCTTTGTAGGAGCTCGAGATCATGTTGTCGGAGGACGGCAACAGTTTCACACACCACCGTCGCTCAACGACTTTTCGTGTTTGGGTAGTTTGATGTGCGGTGGACGAAAAGGCGGCTGGAGCGGTTGTTTGACCGTTTTCGTCCGTCGTGTTACAGCTCTGTATCTTTTGCTCATCTGCAAGAACCTCCTTGACTTTCGGCTGGTCACTACAAATGCGCCCGATCGTACCGCTCAGCTTCGCGCCCCTCTCGGATTGCAGGCCAAAGATGCCCACGGGCGCGTTCTGAAAGAAATACCGTTTGTATGACAGCACAACTCCCCCTCTCTCTCGTTTGTCATTCCAGTCGCTGCCTTATGGCACTGCTTACATGACAAGTTCTGGTAGTCCAAATAGCACTATATTCCAGTGTAAATTTGTATGTGAAAAGTCGGCATTTTTGCTGATGCTTGTATTGCCGTTCATGCTATACAAATGAGGGGCAAGGCCACGGGGAGTTGTGCACTCTCATAGTGTGTAACTATCGTGTTCCTGCTGATGATGTTCGGCTTCGGAGCTACCGATTGGTCGCGCATTAACCGCGAATGCGTCGTGCAGCTGCATGTATTTCTTCTTCGCTTCAGGTATCAAATGCAAATGTGTCTGGGTCCGGAAGAGTCGAGGTTTGTCATGCACATGTGCATGACCCGTGAGGTCTGTGATGCAGGTGGTCCTAGCATTACAGATTTTTTGAGAGCGTCTTGATTCTTATCACGCATGAGAAATGCCCTCTCCGCGTGCCAACAACTGGACCCCTCTTGCTGCTCATGCAACACAGATATTTTTAGACTCCGCGGACAGCATTACAAATCCCACCCTTCCAGATCCAGACATATTTGCAATGCATATCAGGACAACGCTCGTCGAACAGCTTTGCGTGTAGAATCTCGAAGCACCTTTCGTCCATCTCACCGCTGCTCCCGATCGACGCAAAGGCTTCAGCCAGGTCCGGGTCGGAGAAAACGCGCGGCACGATGTCCCGCTGCACTGACATCGTTGCGAAAGCCTGCTCTTGGATCACAACTGTGCCCTGCTTGATGAGTTCACTCGCGAAGCACCCCAGCTCTCTACTCCCATGCAGTGCAGTGCGGATGGTGTACAGCTGCTTTTTCATCTGGCCAGAGCCAGAGGTGGTGTAGTCCTCCTTCTCGTTGTTTTTCGATATCAACACCTCCTCGCCGTCGCCTGCAAGTCCGCCAGTAATAGTGCAACTCGTCATGATCTTCTCTTCATCTTCCCCACGCACTGTTTTGGAACACGTGCTAGGATGAACATCTTCTGGGAGGTAGTTCATCTTATTTCCTTTTCCAGCCGACGTTCTGTCACAACTACAGCGCCACCAGCTTGCCGAGCAGGTGCAGAAGCCGTGCTTGCATGAGTAGCCGAGGCCAGCCCCGCGTTGTCTATGTCTTTGTCACTGTTGTTCCTACAGAAGGTTGTCGAGAGCAGTCGGTCTTCTTGCGCAAGTACAGTTTGACCAACTAACTAAGTAGAGTTTGACCGCTTTGTCTACTCTACCCAGTACCATGTACTTTCCCTAATCAAAATCAACCGCGTGTTATTGCTGGAAAACGAAAAAACGTGTCTGGTGGCAAGGTAGTTTGCGAAATTCGAACGCACCTTCTTTGCGAAGTCTGCGGCTACTACCACTACAGGCGCGTTGCCTTCACGGAAGAATGTTTACTATATCTCTACGTAGCACAGCCACGATAAGACCCTCATCACGTAATCTACTTCAGCAAGAGGTTAAATTTTTTGTCTGAGTATTATAAAAGTTAAAGTTTCAAAATCGCGCTAGCGAACGAAAGTAGAAGACATGAAAACACGATGAGAACGGAAGCTGTGTACGAGGCTTTCCCCACGAAGATTCAGATTTTTCGGGCGATGAGCAGTTTTTTGTCCCGTGCGCGCCAGATGATAGGCACTTCATCGCACGATCAACATTTTTGCACGGCAACTTTTGACGTTGTTTATGATGATATAAACACGATTTCTGGCAAGATGAGGATAGCGACTTCATTGTTCATTTTCGAGGCTTGAGTGTGCTGGCAGCGATAGCTCCCGACTTCCAGCACGATGTTATTGGCCGTGAACATGAGGTGTTCCCGACACGACAGAGCTTTGTTTGCAACAGCAGAACGACAAAGATGCGAATAGCATGCACATGGCCACGACCAAGCTCGGATAACAATAACAAGCCCTCTAGTTGTACTCATCTTCCAAATTATTGGTGCTGCCGCAGCCAAGTCTACTGGAAGGCAATGGGCATTAGGTTTGCCGTGCTGTGCATGTTTTTGTTCTAGGACGGAGGCAGTAGACAAAAATGCATTTCTTGTTGTTTCACGGGTCTGATATCGTACACGGTGTTGAAACTGCAGCGCGGTCAGATACTGGCTGCGTTTGCTTTTCTTTTATATGTGCATTTTTTCCGATTGTAGACATACTAGACAGTAGACACTGGCCTTCCCAAGTATCTCGCTTGCTGCTCTGTCTCGTTGGAACCGTGTCTGCAGCACGGCCGCCGTTCGTGGGCCGTCCTATCCTAATCCTTCTGTGACAAGCAGTTGAAGTGCAGACCTCAGATGCGCGAGAATAAGTATAACTTATCTGCTTTCTTCCCGCAAGCGAGACGTCGGTAAAGTCACTTCTACGGTGGTGCCCGATCATTCATGTGCTGCCGCGTCCGTGCGCTACTGCGAACTGTAAACAAAAACAAAACACAATTCGAATAATTCGACGAAGTGTCTACTTTTATGCTGCCAAAAATAAGTGTACAGGGAGAAATGAACAGTGAATATAGATAAAAGTGGTCTACTAGTGCCTAGTTACGATTGGGACATCGACATCAATAGAGTCCTCTTTTGAAAAGATGTCGTGTACTTTGTCTAGTAAAGTGGTGTCTGAAATAGTGGTCTAAAAGGATGAAAATGATTGCAAAGTATCTGTATCGTTATCACCTCTAGAAGTTGTAAGTAAATTTATAACTCCTATTGCTGAGCGGCGTGAGTTAGAATTTTGCGACGGGGAGGAAAATCGTCCACGCCGAAAATTTTTTTACAGTTTTCAAATTTTCCAAAGCTGTCGCCATTTGGAAAGTCGGCCAACGGCCAACGGCCAGCGGCCATTTTGCAGAGCGGCCAGCGGCCATTTTGCAGCTCGAAATATTTTCAAGCTCGAAATATTGCCCAGCTAGGAATATTTTCACGCTCGAAATATTTTCCAGCTCGGAATATTTTCAAGCTCGAAATATTTTCCAGCTCGAAATATTTTCCAGCTCGAAATATTTTCCAGCTCGAAATATTTCCCAGCTCGAAATATTTTCCAGCTCGAAATATTTTCCAGCTCGAAATATTTTCCAGCTCGAAACATTTTCCAGCTCGAAACATTTTCCAGCTCGAGCAAATATTTTCCGGCTCGACATATTTTCCAGCTCGGAATATTTTCCGGCTCGAAATATTTTCCAGCTCGAAATATTTCCCGGCTCGAAATATTTTCCGGCGCGAAATATCTTCCGGCTCGAAATATTTTCCGGCTCGAAATATTTTCCGGCTCGAAATATTTCCCGGCTCGAAATGTTTTCCGGCTCGAAATATTTGCCGGCTCGAAATATTTCCCAGCTCCAAAACATTTTGCAACGCAAAATATTTTGCAGTGTCGCTCGGATCTGCGCGATCGCGTGGCACTTCCTTACTGAAATCCCTAAGGAAAAAAAAATCAGCTGATCGCGCGTCCGAGGAGGGCAACGCGATCAGGCAGCCGGAGACCGAAGGCGGCGATCGCATCCCTGCAAGCTGTACGGGGATTGTCGCCTGTCCTACTGACCTGAGAAATCTTTCCCCTGGGTAGTCAGAATCGCTGTGCTAAACGCAGCAACTCGGGGAAAACAAACAAAATTCTCCCTCCCCTTACCCGTACCTTCCCACTATGCCAATATCCCCCCACTATCCTGATACCCTCCCAATACCCTACTGGGAAATCTTTCCCCTGGGTAGCCAGAATTGCTGCGCTAAACACAGCAACTCGGGCAAAAGAGCAAACTTTTCCCATCCGTTGCCAGTATCCTCCAACTATCCTGAAGACATCCTCCCACTATCCTATTGGAAATCTTTCTCCTGGGTGACCAGGATTGCTGTACTAAACGCAGCAACTCTGGAAAAAAGACATCCTCTCACTATCCTGATACCCTCCCAATATCGTACTGAAAACCCGATCCCCGGGTAGCCAGAAGAGCTATGCTGAGCGCGCCAATTACTAACAAGAAGCAAACTTTTATCATTCGGCCCCAATATCCTGGCACTAGACCGGTAGCCCCCCATTACTCCAATGCCTTCCCATTAGGCCAATGTCTTCCCCGGGTAGCCAGAATAGCTGTGCTAAACACAGCAACTCGGGGAAAAAAACCGAAAATAAAGCCCCGCTGAACAGGCCGGGTGGGAAATGCATTGAAAAGGCGTCCGCAGCTGCGTTTCCAGGTGGAAATGCGCTGCAGATGCCTTTTCCAAATGTTTCCAGCTGGATTTCCAGCTGGAAATGCCCTGAAAAAGCGTGCGCCGCCGTTGGGTGGCTGGGGAACACCACCGGCGGCCAAGCACCAGGCGAGCAGCTGCCCACCAGCCTCCCCCGGCGCCCTCGCTCCCTGCTCTGTTCGCGAAGGGAAAGTCGCGCCCCAGCGCCAGGCTTGCAGGCGAGCAGCTGCCCACCACCCTTCCCCTGCGCCCTCCCTCTGTTCACGAAGAGGCCGGCAGAGGGCGCCACCATCCGCCGTCTCTGTCTTGGAGGGTGCGCGCGAGGGAAGCAGGCGGGGGCGCAACAGGTTGCATGCGGGCGAACACGGGGGGCGCCATTGTTGTCCGGGGGTGCTTGGGGAGGGTGGTGGGCCCCTGCGCCTGGAGGGCAATGTATGAATGCCCCGCCCCGGCGCCCGTCCTCCATCCACGCGCGCGGCAGGGGCCCCTGCGCGCCCCCGTTCTGCAAGGCTGCGCGGGGGAGAAGGGCGGGGGGCACCAAGGCGCACAGGGGCGGGGCACAAAGGCAGGCGGCACGAACGGGCCACACCGCAAACGCGCGAACGGGGCGTCACGCGCCAACGCCTCGCATGGCGCGGCCTGTTCCCCCGTCCACTGGCGGCCGCCCGCTGCCGCGCTTTGGGTTATTGCTTGGGCCTAAGGCTTGCCGCCAAGCAAACGCGCGCCCAGTGCGGGCGGGGCCCTCGCGCTCGCACAACGACGGGAACCACGGGCGACATGGCGCTCCGCCTTCGTTCTTTCAGCAAGAAGCGGCGCAGATGCCTGGCCCCGCCCTGCATGAAAAATTTTTTCCCTTGCCCCTCTGGCGTTTTTCTTTCCCCCCCCGTCCACTCGTTCACCCTCCCACTGCGCGACATAAGTTGTTTCCTTGTATCTGGTGTTGTTGCTGTCAGTCGGAAAGAAGGAAAAATATCAAAATGGCAAAGGGATTAATGTGAAGACATTTCGTCCCGGCGCCTGAAAATTCGCTCTGCCGGCGAACAAGACCGAGCCATTTTTAGTTGTCTCTATGAGTAGCACGCTTACACGCAACAAGCATCCACTGATAATAAATCTTCTGACTGGTGAAGTGTAAGATTGGTGTTGGTTTAATATTGGTTTAGATGGAAAAATTAACAAATGACAGTTGTATTAAATCTAGCTGAAAATGGTATTTACTCCGAGGATTAATATTCATATTAGCGTTGAGTGAAAAAGTTGCAAATTTCGGTTTGTTCTTTTGTACTGAACGATGCAAGAGGTGCAGTAGAAGGAATTAGGAGTTCAAGTTGTCATCTCGTCGCACAACAACATTTTCGAGTGATCATTTGAACCGGCGAAGATAGAAGATTTTCGGTCACGCCATGGTAATCCTCCGCTTGTCTCTTGGCCGGGTGGACAGCACAGCGCTTTGCCGCGTTGGATCGGCGACGGTGCCACGGCGGATGTTTTGCAGGTTGTGCTGCACGTTGTTCATGACACCATACTGCTGGAGGTGGTCGGTAGAGGGGCCATTCATCTGCGGTAGATTTTCGATGACGGAGGTCCTGTCGACCGAGGCAGGCGGCGCAGGTGGATTATGCTTATGGGACTGGTCCCAAACGTTACATTGATAGCTGGCACATAATGGTTCATCGTCATGCAAAATCTGCGGTAAGTCTGGGCCTCCTCCATACGATCAAGCTAGTTGTGCTTCTTCGCGGGGCAAGTTCTCGATGCGTTTGGTAGCACAGATCGAATTCCATTACTTCAAGTTCGTCCTCACGCAAGTTAGTACTAGTCGCGCACGTACTTAGCTCTTCCCTTTCCCTTTTGCTGTTCTTGCGTCACGCGTATCAATGTAACATAAAGAGAACTCCATAAGGAAGATGCAGTAGCTCCTGCTGTTGCCCACTAATCACCGACGACTGGTCCTCCCTCCGTGGGCGAGTGTGGTCGCGCCTTTTTTTTTTGCGGTCTTGATGTTTTTTCTCGAAGGACAAATATCGACATCGAGGAACTACATGAAGAATTGTTTTCAAACAATAGCTTGAAAATAAGCCATGCTTTATCTACGCGTAGTACACTCTTCATAGCTGCTCGATCATCAAAAGCAGGAAAAAGCATCAGAATGAGTCTGAGTTTGTCGCTCAGTGCCAGCACTCTACCGGTACTACAGTAGACTGAGAGCTTCTTGTTCAACACGCAACATCATGAGTGCTATTTTATTTAATTTTCCACCTTTGTCCATCAACTGCCACTCTGTTCTTGTGCCCGAACAACGACCCACCACCGTCTTCCGGAATCGGTCGCATCGACCCCGCCGAGCCGCCTGAGGTCTCCACGATGTAGTCAAAGACCGTATAGAATGGAAAGGTGTCTGGTTCGCCTGGAAGAGCTCCTCCAACTTGTCATGCTACGTCGTCTGGACCATGCAAAAATCTGTGTTGCATGACTGCCAAAAGTCATGTCCACTTTGACCAAGTTGAAAGAAAGTTTCTTATGCAGGGTCGGCACGACAGAAACGGAATAGACCTCACAGAATCCGTATCCGGCATGTTCGGCCTCGCATTCCAGATCCCATGGGTCATGGAAAACCTGCATGACAAGTCCTCTTGCAACCTTCCCGGCCCAGACATTATATGTGCGATGCATAGATCGTCTCCTGCGAAGACTTCTCCTCGTCCTCGCTACCCTCGGTTACTGGCGACATGCAGAAAAATTGAATGCATTCCTTTTCGTTCTTATGCAGGCAGAGAAAAACTGCGTAAGTGTAACTCTAACTCCGTACTAAATCAATGCGAGGCTGTACAAAACCAGTACCACTTGTCATGCTAGCCACCAGTTATGAGGACCTATCTCATGTGCGTTTTCATGTACTAGCTGTAGCTACCTATGCATGATAGGATTTCTTTGTCATGCAAAGCAAATTTATCAGCAATGTCGTGCTGTCATCCGAAGACACCTACACGACTAACACAGTTTTTTCTTCGATAGTTCTGAATCTCCTCCGCAGACCGCTTTTTTTCCTTCTTCTTCGTGCTCTTTGGACTTGGGGTTCGGTAGTTCGCTTTGGTGGAACTCGTAGTTGGCGCCGTGGCCGCTACCCGACTCGCGGAAGATTGAATTGGTGGGGCGGCATGTCGCACGAAAAAAGTTTCTTACTGTATAGGATTTGGAATTGGATTGTATATCATCACAGACATTATTAAACTGCGCGGCTGCACCCGCGAGTCCACGCATTGGTTGTGCGTAAATTCGTTTACACGTGACGAAGAAAACTTGCCATGCGTGTCTTTTAAGCAAGGACGAGAACGCGGGCAGATGTCCAATGCAGCATCGCGTGATGTGTAGAAAGACAAATTCTTATGCTTCTGTGTTCCAACATTCATGCTGTGCATCACAATTTTTTTCTACAGCGAAGCGGTTTTTTTCTTGCGATACGGCAGTAAAAGCTGCACCGAGCACGTTCTTTTCCGCAGCCTCCTCCGTGACGCGCTCCGTCTTGTAAGCCGGAACATCGTCAAGGAGCTCTTCGTATGGATTGCAAATAAGAGTGGGTCTGGAAACTTGCGATGCGAAAATGTGGATGATGGAAACAGTTTCGGACGCAGCCCAGCATGACAACTTTCCGGAGCGCTTTCTGATAGGAACTCCGCATGAGAAGCTGCGTTTTTGCGAAGCTGCGTTTTTGCATGACAAAAGAGGCTGCGCCGTCTTTTGTTGGTTTAATACAATACATTTCTCCTAGCAATGGAAAGCTTGCATATACAAGTTCCAACCCTCCAGACCCAGACGTCATATTCGCACTGAATACCTCGTGGTCGAGAGCGAACGCAGCCGCCTCGTGCCCACCGGAATTTTGCTTGATGGCCGGAATCGGCGTTGGGGGCATCTGTTTCACAATGGTTCAGAGTATGTACTAGATGCAACAGTATCGCACTCGTACAACCAATCCCACTCATGTATGACATCAAATCTACGTTTTTATCTCCACCACTACCTGAATCCGCATTACAAATTCCACTTTTTCTCTTGGCAAAATTTGTCATGCGAGCTATCAAGAAAGTAGCAGGGCCGCCACGTGCATAAAGTACTAGACGGCGAAAACAAAGTACTTAAATGCGGAAAGATCACCACAGTCAGTGCCCTTACCCACGCATCCTGGATCTCCTCTGGATCGATCATTTTTCTCCTCGCCTGCAGGTTCTGCTCATGCCAGGAAGTCGTCTCATCCTGATCATGTAGCCTTCGCCGAGATGAAAAGTCAACTACACCTGCAGCTGCAACTTCCACTATCTCTCGTCGCACGACGATGGTCTCTTTCGTGTCCTTTTCAGTTTTCGCGGGCATCAGGACCGGTTTTGGCACTGGCGGCTTGTTCGTGCTTTCGGTCGACTTATGAGAACGCACAACTCCCGCCTTGCGGCCCGCGTTTGAACAAACGCATGTGGAGCAGGAACACAAGCAACGGCAGATATGTCGTGGCCTCTTGCATGACGAGAAGTCTGCACCCGGATGGTCGTACTGTTTCAGGTTTCATTTTCAAAATTAATTGTCATGCAAACACAAATAATCGTGCTGCAACGCATGCAAGGGCAGGACTTGGTATAATTTTCATTTTGCATATACAAATGAGGGGAATGCGAAGGCGGGGGAGTTGTGCGCTCTCATACAGTTCTGGAGGATCTAGCTGTACTTCGAGTTGCATTTTCGTCAGCCCGGGTGCTGAGCCGATACACCGACGGTCCGGCTGCACTGGTGTCACTTCTCCGCTGGGTGTGCTGTCTTCTCGACTTGTTCTATTCTGCCCATACTTCTTCTCTGCAGGAACAACCGCAGGCCGTTTGTTGAGGCCATGTGCATTTCGGTCTTGTTTGTTGGAAGTATGCATTGCAAATATGTCTGGATCTGGAAAGTAGAATGGGATTTGTCCTCGTCCTGATTTTCGGTCATGGGCGAAAAACCTGCATCGCATGAGCAGCAAAAGGCAAGTCAGATTGTTGCCACCAGGAAAAGGCATTCCTCATGTAGGAAAAGCCTTTGTGAGAGCTGTGACGCTAGAGCATGTAACATCACAAGCATCGCGGGTCGTGTACAATTGAATTCTACATGACAAAGTCAAAGAACTCTGCCAATCTTCCAGACCCAGACACTACATTTATTCCATTTGATAGGAAGGAGATGAAGACGAAAGAGCGGCGCTACCAGAGGACTCTGCACTACCGCTCGACCCGCTAGCGTCGCTTTTCCGTCGCCGGAAAAAAAGGTAGTACAGTGTGACGACCAAAAGTGCGACGGAAGAAAGTAGGACCATGTCGAGATGTTGATTGCCGAAGGCGAGAATTCTAGTGCCACCAGCAGACGCAGGTGATGAGTCGTAGCTGCTTCGGCTTGAGGTGGAAGTGGCCTCGTTGGCGGCTGCTAGAAGGTCCCCTAGGGAAGGTTCACCAGGTTGTGTTGCAGATCGACCCCCGTCGTCGGTAAGGATTCCTTTTGGATCATTCACGGTGCTGGTGGCGCCGTTTCCTTCAGCCCTTGCTTGATCGGCCCGCTTATCCGTTGCAAATACTTACGTGTCGGGGCCTGGAAAGTTGTGATGCTAGTTTGTGAAGGACTACGGTAGACGACGCATTGCAATACCAATAGGCAGCCACACATGACGAGTTTCTGGGCTCCCTTGTATGTGTATCTCGCTTCCAGTATTCCGCATGGCATCAAAGTATATTTTTCAACGACAGGAAGCAGGCTTGATGTTTTTTCCTGCTCTTCACGCGGTGCGGACGCTTCAAGACGAGCAGTCATGATGTGGGACAAGCATGACAAAGTTGCATCCTTCCAGACCCAGAGAACATGTTGATTATGATTTGCAGTGCATACCGCTGCAGATGAGCTGTGTCGCCCACTGCTTTTCCTTCAGCTTCTCCTTGGTCGCCAGCCGCGGCTACGGCATCGCCCCGGACCACAGGATCCTTGCTCACCTCCGTCTTTTTCTCTTTTTTCGGCCATATCCTTTGCAAAAGTTAAAGTATTGCGCTCGTTGTAATAGTTGCAGATGCAGTCTATGCATGACAAAAATCGACTTCCTTCCCAAGCTAGATGAGCATGACAAACACAATTTTCTATTTCATTTGTAACACAACGGCGCTGTGATTGTGAAGATGTCCTCGTTGTGCAAGTATTGCTGGCGCGATTATACTTTTGCAATGCTTAGGCCCGTGCTGCGCCCGCGACGAAAACGGCGCTTCATCCTCGTCGATAATATCCTCGACTAGCACAAGTGCCCCTTCACCGTAAGAACTACTTGCAGGAGTTGTGGGCATCAGATCGAGGTTGGCGGTTGTAGAAGCCGCTTGAGGTAGTCGGTCAACAAGACCGAGCCCGCTTTCCACATCGTCCGCAACACTTTTTGTCCGAATGAAAAATGTCCGCAGCAGCCCACACCAGTTGTCATGTTTCATTTCCATCCGCAGAAGCATTCATCTGTAACGCACAAGCACAACTGGATGAGAGGAATTTCTAGTCATGTTCTGGGATTGGTAATCCTGTAACCAGAAGGACAAGGAGGCGTCTTTGTGATGCGGCTGTATTTGCTAACGAGCAGTGCAAAATAAGATGCAGATTAGAAAATCATCACGCATAGGTGCCAATAAAACTTCGAGATTTGTGCTTTACTGATTTACCAACTTGACTATGGGGTGGGGACGTTTTTCCTTAAAATACTTTTATTCGGATCGTCACTCGTGCCCTCGCTCGCAGCGAGCTGCAGGTCTTCCCTGTGCAGAGGCACGGGCCAGTAGCGTCGGACGACTTGCTGGTAGAAAATTGTCTGCTGTGCATTGCAAATATGTCTGGAAGACTGCGAGAAGAATGACATGCATCATCTTGCGGAGCAGGACCACGGGCATTGTCATGATTTTTGTCTGGAATGCACACAGAAGAAGCATCACAGATTTTGCGAGACCTAGACCTTCCTTATGCATATTCCACATGAGATTCAGAGGACTAAGCACATTCGCCGTCTGCTTAGAAGCAAGAAGCTGGAAAGTTTTTGTTTTGGCGTGCAAGCAAATGCATCAAAGCAGATTTTTAGTTATCGTGGAGATCTCACATGACAAGCGGCATTTTTTTCTTTCCAGACCCAGACAAATTTGCCCGTCATATCTGTTTGGCGCTGTCGAATTCGTAGGTCCACGGCTTCTATCCTGTGCAAAAGTATCGTGCTCGTACTAAGTAATTGCAAATATCATGCATGACAAAATTTGTGATGCAATTTTTCCTAGTACGATGCTTTTCCTTTTGCAATTCATAGCTTCAGCAACGGCATGGGACGCTCCTTCTGGTAGCACGAATTTTTCAGCACGTAGTAGGTTTCCATATGGGATTCTCAAGCGTTATCTTCTCGGCTGCTCCAACATGATTTGCTATACGAAATTACCCCTCGCATCTTCTTCTACATGATCAAGCTACTCGGCGCGACAAATTTCCGAAGCGCTGAGCAGCCTGAAAATCTGCGCCAAAAAATTATCTGTAATGTAGGACGCGCAAGGTATCGCTTTATTATTCCCTTTTGCAGCTATTCTTGCACTCGCAAATCGTGTAACAGTTGAGAATGTCACGTTTGAGAGTCCCATATTCCAAACCGCGGCCTTTCACGTACACTTGCTCTCTCCTCCAGTTGCCGGGCAGGATTTCCTCGCCGAAAATTTGGTCCGGATGAGAAGAATCATTTTGGCCTTGATCTGGAATTTCACACGAGTGGGTAGAATCGGTGTCGACGCTGCTCGTGTATGCAGGGCAAATGTTATGTCTGGGTCCGTTGGAAAGTCGGTCGTAGGTTTGTCATGCAGGTTTCCCATGCCCCATGATGAGGTCTAAAATTCGAAGCCTTGCAAGACAGACTCTGATGTGAGGGCTTTGGCTTCGTCATGCTTGGTGTCCTGCGCGAGACATTGTCTTCCAACTTGCTCAAAAATAGGTAGCAACTTTTGGCATATCTTTATCGTCATACAACACAGATGTTTGTTTGCACGGTCCAGAGTTAGCATGACAAGGTGCAGTGTTCCAGACCCAGATGACATATTTGCAATCCATATCGTGCTTCCATCCGGGGAGGAGGAGGAGGAGGAAGCGAGGATCCGCGGTCCCTCTGGCACGGGCGGATTCCACTGCGTTTTCTTCGTCGCGGAGTGCCAGTAATACACCTTCCCGCATCAAATCGTAAAAATGTATGGGTCTGGAAGAATGGAACTTGTCATGCTGTTTTTAGACACTAAAAAATTTGTATTGCATGCCCAGCCAGAGAGGCGCCCTTTGTGCTACACGGACAGGGCATTTCTCATGCGGAAAGTGCATCGGGAAGCCCTCTAAAAGTCTGCGATGCTAGGTCATGCAATACAGGCATCATGGGTCATGAGAAATATGCATGACAAATCTTGCATTCTTCCAGACCCAGACATTTTCGCATTTGATATCCCGCTCTTCTCGTCGACGATCGAGCGCCACGGATGACACCGTAACTTTGGCAATGGCTGGCTCTGGCGCTGACGCTATCCTATGTAAAAGCAACGTCCCCACCTCGACCCCTGCGTCAAGATGAGAACAACGCTCTACTTGCAGCACAAACCTGGAAGTTTTGGGACGAGTCACGCGTGACCTGTTGCAGTCTGTAGTGTAAATCAGGTTCTCGTTCTTTGCAAGGGCAGCCACATGACAATAAGGCCCTCCGCTTATCCTCTTCGACTTTGTAGCATTACAAAGGCCATCTTCAAAACACGACTACAAATATCGTTTGTAATGGGGATGCGCACTAGATGCCATTCTGCATGAGAACGTTGGGCAGGCGGGGACGTTTCTTGACGTGATAGATGCTCGCGAAGGTCTTCTGTGGCACCGGATCTTGTTGTTGCTCCGCCGGCTCCCGTATGTGTATCAAGTGCAAATATGTCTACTGGCTCTGGAAAGTTGGATGTAGTACGAACTAGATCGTGTTGAAGGATAGTCACTTTCCTGCTTCTCTGCAATCCACAGCCAAGCATCACAAGTTTTAGAGCCGCTACGTGCTCGGTATTTGCTATTTTTGCATGCAACAAAAAAGATCGCAAATTCGTGGATATGTATCACAACCGCTACATCAGCCATGCATGTCAAGTGAAACAAGGTGACAAATATGCAATCTGAATCTTCCACCAGGAGACCTATACGTGTATTGCAAAAATCCATATTCCGTTGCAGAATTTACCGAGCAGGTTTTTGTCGATTTTGCCGAGTTGTCTTGGTGTGAAGATGCCGACCCCGCGACCGTATACAATGGAAAAGTATCGATATCGTACGTTCTACAAATCGCATGGGCAAAAATTTTCTTAGGAAGAATAAGAAAGCCAAAATTTTCATGAAGATTAAGGAAAAAAAGCAGGAGATCTGGCATGCTAGACCACTGGCATTTATGATTATTACAATTGCGATACTAGTTTTGCAGGGGATAGGCGACCGCACCGTGCAACTTCGCTGCTCCAGCTTTCATTTTCGAAGCTTCGAAGTCGTATGGCGCCGGTATCAAAGTGAAAAATGCCCCCTCCCCATATCAAAACGGAAATCTGTGATGCGGGATTTGTGTACACAAATCCAATCTGTCTAGCAGTAGAGGACTGCAGGCAGATGCAGTGCCTGAGCAGGGGCGTTTTGCTGTAGGCGCCTAGCAAGGCAGGCGCATCGTCTGTAGGCGATATAGCATTACAAAGTGCCTGCCAAACGCGCCTGATTCTCTGTCTTTGCCCTCTTGCAATACATGGACGATTTGTGGTCACAAATCAGCATCACAAATTTTCAGTGGTGCCTCCTTTTGGTATGGGGAGGGGGGATTTTTCCTCACAGTAGCCGGTTCCTCGATGGCGGCGATTCGCTGGTAGTACAAACTGTGTGTGTTCGGCGACCAGGCGTAGGTCCAGCCGTTTTCGAGGCGGAAGGGCTTCTCACTTTGTTGACAGAGGTTGTTGAACACGTAGGCGGTTTTTGTCTCCGTCCGCGCCCCAACGCTGCTGTGGGAAGAACTAGACGAGGAGCTGGAGGATAGAAGCGATGAGGAGCTGCTTGCTCTGCTTATCACTCCACCGTTGCCTCCTGCAGCGAGTGGACCAGATGCCATCCACCCTTCCGGCAAGGGCACCGACCTGGGCGCAGGTTTCGTACTTGGATTCACCCAGTCGGTGACGTTATTGCGGACGTTCCAGTAGTACGTACGGTTGCTCGCCTCGTGCCGGATCTCTCGCCACTCGTGGCAGGAAGGAAGAAGTTCACCGTATTGGAAAGAAAAATTTCCCCTCCCCATTTATTGAAAAGGTGGGTTATTTCCGAAAATTTGCGTTGCTGATTTGTGTTCACAAATCCCACAAATCAGGTTTGTCTTGCAAGAAGACAAGCGCAGAGGGTTCCCCTCCATTATGGAAGGGATTTGGCATGCTGTTGGGCCAGTTGGAGGGCAGCCGTTTGCCGTGCTAAACAACTAGACCCAGACGCCACTATCTAGGCGGAGGATCTGGCCGCAATACCTTACAGCAAGACAGAGCGCAATTGTGTAAGTACGCGAATTCAGCATCAGGAACTTTGTTTTGATATGGGGAGGGGGGATTTTTGTCCTTGATAGACCGTCTCCAGTTTCCGGCGGGAGTTCCTCCTCGCGTCGTGAGGACCGGCGTTCGTGCTCCAACACCTCGCTGGACATGGTTTGTGTGTTGTGCTTTTCCTTTTTCTGATAATTTCACTAAGTAAAGAAAAATTTTTTCTACAGGAGAATCTACATCCTCGAACGTTTCAGTATCATTGACGGCACAGCCGCACCCGCATGTCAAGCTGCTTTCGTGCTTGCTGTGTCTGCTAGGTTAATGACATCAAGGAAAAACGACCTCCGAAGACAAGTGCCCCTCTTCTGCACTCGCAGTTTATGTGCAAAATCAAATACTCGACGTCCTTACCTTCCCAGAAACATCATGTCCTAGCCCGATAGTAAGAAGCTCAGCCTGCTGCTGTTGACGTTCTTCCAATAAAACCAGAAACCCTTCTACGAATAGATATCGACTCCGATTTCCACCCCCTCCCGTCACTTTTAAGTGTAGTTAACGTAAACGAGCCTTCACGAATGAAAATGATGGAAGGTGGGCGGTAGTACCATTTTTGAGCAGAAGCGCTTCCGTTATAATGACAGACGCACGCCGGCCCCCGCCACCGGCGCTCCTGCATGCGCAGCGCCTTCAGCTGCGCACGCGAGAAAGGCCGGCGCGCAGGAGGCAAGCATTCTAACAACATCATACTACGGCTGCATGAAAAGGATCGGCAGCACCAGTGACAACCCCTCAACCCAACCAAGCCACCGGCTGCAGTGCGACCGCACAAAACACAGCTGACCACACCAGCGAAAACCCAGCACGGAATGACGACCAAAAGGAGCACTAAATGCCGCCCGGGTAGGAGCGCGCGCGGCAGCGCGCGCCCAGCAATCCATACCTTTGTCCACGGTCTCAGATCGCAATGCGGGCGTTCTCGGATTGCCTCCTCCCAAAACCGATCCAGCCAAATTCGAACGGAATCCGAACAAATTCCAGCTGAACCCCATCCGATTTCTAATTCTATCCGAATTCCGCTTCCATAATATAGGAACGAAACTCGAATAAGGATGTACTTAATATTATGCGCAATTCAATATTGCCCGACGTCCCAGCTGCATCCTCAGAGCCATCGCGTCAAAGCCCGATACTAAAAAAGTCCGGCTGGTGGTGCTGGTGACTTCCTAAAACGCGTCAACGAATACCGATTTTCGATTCCCACGACCTTCTCCCCTCACTTCTGACTGTGGTCTTCGTAAGCGAAGCTGCAATAAAGAAGAGGCGAGGGAAAAGACAACGCCGTCTTTTCGACAGTTTATACAACTATGCTGCTTTGTTTCGTATGTGCCCGGTAATACGAAAAATATAGAATTCCAGACGGAAGCCGAAGCGAAAATGTGTGCTGTCTGTGAGTGCGTTTATCTTCATACCATTTCATCTACGGCCCCAGAATAGTGAGACTTTGCATCGTCCATGTACCACCGACGCACGGCACCATGCCCAACCCATTCAATGACACCGATACTTTACAAAACTGCTCAAGGAGCTGATGCCGTTTGCAAGTACCGACATGACATAGCACGAGCAGAAGATTGCTCATCGGAATACAAGCAGGGACAAATCAAACTAGTCCCGACGTGGTAGATTAATGATGGAACAGCTGCAGGGCAGGTGCTCTTACGCCAGAACAGGGCTGTTACTGTTAGTAGCAGCGATACTTTGTTTCCACCACAGCAAAAGGTAAAGCAAAGACTTTACGCGGTCCGTATAGGTCATACTCATATTAGCGACAGGCTGCGTATACTAGTATTTTTGGAAATTGATGCAAAAAAAACGAGAAAAAAGCTCGTGAGCGTTTAAACATATTTCGTTCATCGGCGCCTTGGGCTTCGAAATCCGCTCTACGTCCTCATTGTCCCGTTCTCGCCTGGAACATTGTGAGGGAAAGTCGCTAAAACAAATCTGCTGCAAACGTAACCGTTGAAAAAAAAAAAATCAATGACAGGGGGCAAGATGACGCTACTGCATCACCTGCATTCGCTCTCGCTTCCTGTATCCATTGCGCGAGTACTAGGTACGACGCTGATAGGCTGTCTCTGCCCAGGAAGATGAGCAGACTTGTAATCATACACAGGGACGAAGCAAATAACTGGAATGTGAGCACTTTGGCTGGGCTTTGCTCGACAGCGCTCAAAGGTGGCACCACTCCACTGCGACAGGCGCCACTCGTTTTTCGCAAAGAAACCATAACGACCGCGAATCTTCATGCAGCTGCTACAGCAACTGCGCCGCGACGCGTCTTGCTTTGTTCTGCTATTGTATATTCGCCCACTTGCGTCCAAAAATGCCTTCGCGCCACCCCCGAAGGGATGAAGCTCTTTTCCTAAGCAGGCGTCTTCATTGCCCTGTTGTTCTACTTTTCTCTATGGTGCCCCTCGGTGCCTTCCGTGCTGCGGTGCCGCCGCGCTGCTGCTGCTTGTTGACGCTATCGATTCATCGCTAGAGTCATGATGCTTTATCGTTTGGGTACTTTCTTCGGAGATAGAATGAGCACCATTCGCGATCATCTCCCGAAGTTGACCGGGCAACGTGGGGTCGTCGATTTTTGTCATCTCGTCCGTGTACAAGTCAGTGCTGAGATGAGTCGCTATCTTGACCAGCCTCGTGTCAGCTGGCTCATGCTCGACCATCTCCGGCTTCGGATTGTGATACCGTTCGAGGTAGTGGGATGGTGATGTCGGGTTGTCGTTGTGTTTCATCTCTACGAGCCCGAAAAATTGCTGCAACACAAACCGAGTGTACATCTTGAGTTGCTCTCTTTCCTGGAATGCGTCGTGCTTGCTGTCGTGGTGCTTCTGGGGTGCTCCCCAGTACACCTGGTACGAGGGGGCCTCGCGCTCATAATCAACTTCGCTCTCTACGACGAGATTCTGCCGCACATCGTCAGCCTCACCAAGCAGGAGGAGGCCCAAACGGGAGCGCAGACGCAAGAGCGTTCTGGTATAGTCCGGCAGGACTGCGTGTATGGTCGGAAAATTGCAAAATGTTTCATGCCTATATTTATAGTACTTGTACTAGCTAGCACGGTCGCGCCGTGCCAGTTTGATTATGGTGCGGATTTGATCGCGAAGCCGCGCGATTTCTAGCATCAAAAAAACGAGGCCCCAACCTTGAACAGCTGCGAAATAGCAGCAGCCCACGCGGCCGAGTTATATTTGCGCGGCCACTGACAACGAAAAAAATTCTCGCGGAAATCGGCTATATAGGCGATTTTTGTGGGGTGTGTTTGCTTGTTGTAGCTGCACGACAATGACCGGGCCTGCCAGCGAACAACACTGGCCAAATGCCAATAGCGCCATTGATGAACCAACTCCCGATCCTGCTGCTCGGAACTATAAGCGTGCTCATGCTTCGCTCGTGTGTAACGGCGAAGGACATCAGCGGTAAGAGCACAGGGCGAGCACGTCCCGCGAGGTCGTCCTCCACACATCTAGGAAACGCTCGCACGAACGTGGAGTGTCCGAGTCAAGCGCTCCCGGATCTCCGATGCGATGCGACAGTGTGAAGGCGAGCTGGCAAGGCCGCGCGTCAGGTCGGAAGCAGCATCATTTCAATTCGAGGCGATCGCGGTTCTTAGTCTTTACAGTTGCACTCTGTGACCGCGCTTTGTTCCTTGTGCACCACCTCGTCGCTCTGTGCATAGTCACGCCCTCGCAACTGTTCTTAGCTGAGGCCCAGCGGGGCGGTCCATGTAGTCAAGTCAAGCAGACGTCGGGAAGAGTGCATGCAATCTGTGGACGAGGTGCGGTCGTGAGTAGTGCACGCCTTTTGCAATGATTTCGAGGCGCGCGCACTGCTTCCCACTAAGCGCGCACAAGCGCTCCAGTCTCAGGATCTTTTGGACACGAACAGCAACGCACGCGCGTGCTGGCCTCGAATCAATACCGCCTCGCTATCACAGGGATGGGCGGGCGGGTGACTCAACGCACGAACCATAGGGCTACCCGAGTGACCTTCGCGGTCACTGGGACACTATTTGACTTTCACGCTTATCAGCTGCGCGGGTGTCGCAATTCATCAGCTCGAGTCGCGTCTGTTAGCGACTCTTTACGATCTGAATGAACGCGAGAAAGAGGATGACAAGTATCCAACTTCTTGCATTCGTAGGCACTATCAGCACCCCTCACGGTCCGCAAATAGTGCAAAGCTCCCGCACCAACTCCGGGGCGACTCAATATCAGCCGCCGCGTGCTAGTAGCACACACGCAGGCGAGAAAGTGGCTACATATCCAAAAAGTTGAGCATTTAGATCCAACCAGCCACCCCCCGGCGGAGGCCGCCGGGGAGGGAGGCTGTTCGGGGGAGGTGTGCCGGTGGGTCAGGTGGGGCCAAGGGTAGCGCGCCGCTGCGTAGCCATAAAGGCAGTCGGGGCCGCGCCGGCCGCTCTGAGGGGTTTGGCCCAGAAAGCGCAGCGCACACGCGCAGCGATACCGCGGCGGCCTGCGTTCTTTGTTTCCGAAAAAAGCAGCGCCCGGGGCCGGAGCTTGATGGCGGCCTTTCTTGGAGGGGTAGCCTGTTGGAGGCGTGCGCCCTGAACAAGAGGGCGGAGCGCCTCCAAAGAGTAGCGAGCTGGAATAAGCTTAAATGGCGAGCACGCCGCGGGGCTCGCAAGTGCGTGCGAAATAGACAACGGGCACAGCAAGACTGATTTTCGCTACTTTGGCTGCAAGCACGTCCACGGCGCTACAAAGACGCCGCACCTGTTGCCCGCGCGCGGGCGTTGTGTGAAGTTGCGGCCACCCTAGGTGGCCGCCTACGTTAAGGCGTGGCGCCGCGCCCCCCCCCCGCCCGGGGGACGCAGAGCGGCGCGCTCACTTTGAACAGCCGCCCCGGTCTGTAGAGAGTCAAAAGATCTGCAGGCCATAAGCTTTAGGCCCCTGCTGGTTTCGCTCCTACTTTAAGACGCAGGCACTGCGCGCAGGCGGGCGAACTGCATTGGGGGGGCCGGCGGTTCCGGAAGAGGTTCCGGAAGAGGTTCCGGGAGAGGGTCGAGGAGAGGGTCGGGGAGAGGGTCGGGGAGAGGGTCGGGGAGAGGGTCGGGGAGAGGGTCGGGGAGAGGGTCGGGGAGAGGGTCGGGGAGAGGGTCAGAGAGGTTCCGGGAGAGGTTCGGAGAGGGTCCCGGAGAGGGTCCTGGAGAGGGTCGGAGAGGTCCCGAGAGGGCCCGCCGAGAGGTAAAATAGAGGGCCCCGGAGAGGGTCGGGGTAGAGGGTCACCCTATACTACGCGCCCTCTCTGACCCTCTCGACCCTCTCCCCCTACCCTCTATTTTACCTCTGTCCACCCTCTACCTACCCTCTTCGGGCGTATAGCGCCGCTATACGGGCCGACGTACTACCCACCCGCGCCCTACCCTCTCCTTTACCTCTCGCCTTACCTCTCCCCGACCCTCTATTTTTTCCCGACCCTCTACTTTACCTCTACGCAGGCAACCTCTCCCCACACTCTACCGGAACCTCTCCGGCCCCGTTTTCTTCCGTGTGTAGTATAATAATAGCGGCAAAGATTTTTTCGCTCCTAAGGAAGCTCCTAAGGAAGCTTCCTTACGCAGGGCGTCTCCTAAGAGGGCGCGCTAAGAAAAAGCCTGAAGCGAAATTATCTTAAGGCGTCCCCGCTTAAGAAGGTACGCCTTTAGGCGTTCCCGCTTAAGGCGTTCTCGCTTAAGGGAGCTCCTGAGGGCTCCTTAGGAGCTTCCTTAGGAGCTTCCTAAGGAGCGCAAAGCTGGCAAAGCAAACCAAAGCAAAAGAAAGCAAAGCGCAAGGCGAAAAGGCAAAAGCAACGCCAAAAACAAAAAGCAAAGCGCCTTAAGGGGCTTCCTAAGGGCCTTCCTAAGGGGCTTGCTAAGGAGCTGCCTTAAGGTAGGACGCAGCCCGTAAGGCCTAGGCGCTAGCTTAAAGGGGAGGGCAGGCACGGCGCAAGCGAAAAAGCAAAGCAAAAAGCGAACAGGCAAGGCATCGCAAAAACCAAAGCGGGCGCAAGGCCCCACGTCTTAAGGGCCTACGCCTTCGGAGGCTTCTTGCGGAGCTTTCTCAGGGCGGCGGAGAGATTTCGTTAAGAGCTTGGCTGCTGCGAGCGGGTTTTGGTCTCTGGTTGTGGTTGCCGTTGGTTGCGACTTTGCCAAAGTCGCAACCCGAAAAAAACCAAAGGAAGCGCCAAAAGCAAAGCGCCAAAAGCAAAGCGCCAAAAGCAAAGCGCCAGAAGCAAAGCGCTGAAAGCAAAGCGCGAAAAAGAAGAGCGCAAACAGCAAGGCGGCAAAAAAGCAAAGCGCCAAAAGCAAAGCGAAAAAGCAAAGCGAAAAAGCAAAGCGAAAAAGCAAAGCAAAGCGAAAAAGCAAAGCGAAAAAGCAAAGCGAAAAAGCAAAGCGAAAAAGCAAAGCGCCAAAAACCAAAGCGCCAAAAATCAAAGCGCCAAAAGCAAAGCGCCGAAAGCAAAGCGCCAAAAGCAAAGCGCGAAAAAGCAGAGCGCCAACAACAAAGCGCCAAAAGCAAAGCGCGAAAAAGCAGAGCGCCAACAGCAAAGCGCCAAAAACCAAAGCGGAAAAAGCAAAGCGCATAAACCAAAGCGAAAGGGTGCGAGCGGCTACGCCGGGCTTAAAGCCTTAAGGCCCCACGTCTTCAGGACCTACGCCTTCAGAGGCTTCCTCAGGAGCTTCCTTAGGAGCTTTCTTAAGGATCTAGCCCTTGAGGCCTGGCCTTTAAAATCTGAGAGGCGGCACAGCGAAAGGAAAAGCAAAACGCAAAGCAATGGCAAACGAAAAGCAAAACGAGAAGCAAAGCGAGAAGCAAAGCGAGAAGCAAAGCGAAAAGCAAAGCGAGAAGCAAAGCGAGAAGCAAAGCAAGAAGCAAAGCAAGAAACAAAACAAAACAAAGCAAAACAAAACAAAGCAAAGCAAAGCAAAACAAAACAAAGCGCAAGGCGAAAAGGCAAAACGCCGAAAACAAAGCGGCACGAAAAAGCAAAACGCCAAAAACAAAAGCACGAGAAAGCAAACCGCGACAAGGCAAAGCATCAAAAAGGCGAGCGCCAAAAAGCTCAGCACCAAAAAGCAAAGCGCAAAAAGGCAAAGCGGGAGCAAAGCTCTGAGCGGCCCCGTTTTGTGGCCCCATGTCTTCAGGGTGTATGCCTTAAGCGGCCTCCTAAGGAGCTTCCTTAGGAGCTTTCTTAAGGGCCTAGCCCTTAAGGCCTACGCGTTTAAAGCTGAGAGCCGGCACAGGAAAAATAAAAAAGCAAAGCGGAACGAAAATAAAAGCAAAGCGCGAAAAAGCAAAGCGCCACCCATCCAGAAAGCAAATCGCGACAGAGCAAAGCGCCAAAAAGGGGGGCGCTTAAAAGCAAAAAGCGAAAAGGCCAACGCACTAGCGCAAAAACCAAAGCGGCCGGCGGCGATCTAAACGGGTGCGCTTTAAGGCCCCACGTCTTAAGGGCCTACGCCTTCGGGGGCTTCTTTGGGCGCAAGCTTTCTCAGGGCTGGCGAGCGATTTCGTTAAGAGCCTGGCTGCTGCGAGCGGGCTTTGGTGTAGTTGCGAGCTCGCCAAACTCGCAACCCGGGCGGTCGGAAGGCGGCGCGGCTTTCGGACCTGCGTCCCGATCTGCCTCTCCTTCTTACGCTACGCGTTCTCCTGCTACTAGCGATTTACTAATTTCAAAAAATGTCGCACGTGGTTGACGAAAAACGTGACTGCGCGACGGCTGCGCAAGCAAAACGCCGCCAAGCAAAGCCAGAAGCGAAAGCAAAAGAATCCAAGGAAGCGCGAAAAAGCAAAACGAAAAAGCAAAGCGAGAAGAAAAGCGAGCAAGCAAAGCGAAAAAGCAAAGCGAACAGGCAAAGCGGGCAAGCAAAGCGGGCAAGAAAAGCGAACAAGCAAAGCGCGCAAACAGAGCGAAAAAGCAAAGCGAAAAAGCAGAGCGAAAAACAAAGCGAAAAAGCAAAGCGAAAAAAGCGAAGCGAAAAAAGCAAGGCGAAAAAGGCAGAGCGAATATACGCAAAGCGAAAAAGGCAAAGCGAAAAAGGCAAAGCGGAAAAAGAAAAGCGAAAAAATCAAAGCAAACAAAGCGAAGCGAAAAAAGCAAAGCAAACAAAGCGAAGCGAAAAAGGCAAGGCGGAAAAAGCAAAGCAGACAAAGCGAAGCGAAAAAAGCAAAGCGGAAAAAGCAAAGCGAGAAAAACAGGGCGAAGGCTGCGCAGAGCGAGGCTGCGCAAAGCAAAGCAAGGCTGTGCATGAAACACAGGGGGGGCGTCAATTATGTGGCCAACGGCGCGCGCTTGCTTGCCTGTCATCGCCAGGCCTGCCAAAGCCAGCAAAGGCGGAGCGGCCTGCGAAAAGCGCAGCAATTTTGCGCATTTCACAGCCAGCTCCTGCGAAAATAAAAAACGGAGGCGGAGCGGCCCCGACGGGCCCGGGGCCGCGGCTTTTTCGTATTTCCCAGACAGCGCAGCGGACGGGCTGCACTTCTAACGCGGGCCCCCCCCGCGCATTGTCGTTGGCTTTCTCGATTTTGAAAGCGGGGCCGACCACGGGGGCGGGTCGGTCCGGCAGCAGCGAGCCCATAGAAGCGGGGCCCCGATGGCCCCGCTTCCAGGCTCGTAAATATAGTAATTTCTATGCGTTTCTAAATACGCGGCCCATTTTTGGGATATATGCTCACTTTATTTTCGTCCACATAGGCACTCTGAGAACACGGCAAACAGCGATCGGCCTCCCAGTCCGGACTTGGCAGCGGCGCCAAGCCGGGCCGTCGCTTTCTTGAAAAAAATCTACCAGCGCCTGGAGAGCAAAGGCGCCGACTTGGCGCCTGTCGTGCTACCAGCGCCTGTGTTTTGCGAAAATCAGATATGTAGCGGATTTCCCCGAAAAATATTTTTTTCTGTGGGCCGCGCAAATACGACCCCGAGTAGAGTGAGGCGGGGGCTTCCGACTTTCCGCTGCTTTGCCCGCACACACCGACCGCGCTAGGAGCGTGCGCAAAAAGTGCAAAACCGCCAGCAACTGCCGAAAATGCAGCTGGGTTGCTTTTTTTGGCTGCTTGTCTAGCACGGTCAGGCCGTGCTAGGGGGGACGGGAAAAAATGCAAAAATGATCGCCATCGTGCTCACAACACCGACCGACCATGCTAGGGGTAGCTCGTACTTTATAGGTATGAAACTTTTTTACACTTCCCGTCCCTAGCTACGTGGCTGTGTTGCCCACCATACACAACCCCGGCCGCGAGTACACGCGCGGCGTACCAGTGTAGCAGCGCCCCAATACCCTTTCCAGCTTTCAAATTCTCCATGTGCGCTTCCAGGCGGTCTCTTCGAATCAGGCTCAGGTCCACAAGGGCACTCGGGGCGCCCGCTGGGCCGCACCCGTTCAGCGACTTCACACCCAGCAGCCCCTCGGCAGATACACTCATCGAACTAGTAAGAAATTTGTGGACCGCCCGCAGCTCCAGTAGTTCCTTGTCGCGGATGGTTTGTTCGTCGATTTTCTTGAGCAACGCTTTCCCATTCGCAAAGATCGCCCTGGTTTGCTCATCATGATGGTGCTTGCCTTCGTCATTCTTGTGTTCGTCACCCTTCCCCGCCACTTCCTCAAGGACCAAATTCGCCAGCTCGTGAACGTCATGGTGCTTCTTGTGTTCGAACTTGTTTGCAACGTGTCGCGCCACTTTATGCCATTCGCGTTCAACGAGGCTGCACGCTATGTGTTGAATTCGCTGCCACGTCTCCCGGCCCGCAATAAGTACTCCAGCGAGCCTCTCCGCCGTTATGCGGGCTCGCTTGTGGGTAGGGTGCTCCCCCCCCCTTTTCTTCGCCTGCTTCACGCTCTGCGCGACAAAGTGTTCGACTTCTTTTGGGAGCGAAGGGTCGGCCTCGTTTTCGATGCTTTTTCTGAGCCCCTCAGCTAACGCCGCGGCCGCACCTGGTCCCCGGCTCTTTTCCCAGAGCTGTGCGAAGTTGGAAAACATCTCCTCGACGTCGTCGACGTCGGTCGCGCTGAAGCCCAGCAGGGGCCTGTTAATCTATGGACGGACAGTCGCGCGCTGCGGCACCATCGCGATGTTGCTTATGATCCACAAGCGCACTCGCTTCGTACCGGGAACCGCGCGCAATCGCGACACAACGGGCACCGATGTCGAGCGGGGTCCGTACGGGCGACACATGGCGCCGAAGGAATGGCTTTACACACAGGCGACAAAGAAAGTCGCTGCCGCCACGCCGCCTGGCCGGCCCCCCAAGCGAGCCCAGACAATTTACAACGCGGGCCATCTATTGCATCTAACTAACCAGATGTGGGGGGAGGGCGGGCGCGGCCAGGCAAGCTGCTGGGCGCAAACCCCAAAGGAAGGCGGCGCCCCCAGTATCAAACTAGCTGCAAGAACCGGCGCAACACCAACCACAGGCACACCGATGGAGACTGCCAATTACTGAGTCACGCTACCCCTAACAGGTGGGCGACCGGCTGCGCCTACGCCTCGCGGAGCTGCTGCAACACCGACGCCGCTGCAACGCCTCGCGCGCGGCCAGCGGCAACAGGCAGCCCTCGGCCCCCGCCCCGCCCGAGCCTGGAGGCCCTCTGTGTGAGTGCGAGGAGTGCCCGCGGCCTGCGCAGACAATTCCCAGAACAAGGCAGGGGGGGCGCTGCGTTCCTGCGTGTGATCTTCCGCTGGCTGGATGCGTTCTGCCTAGCAGCCAGGCCGCTGCGGCCGGGCGCGCGGGCGGTGAAGGGCCGGCGGCAGATTGGTCGCACTAGCTTCCTTTCGCACCTCCTTCGGTGAGCGATGCCGCTTGGGCGGTGGGAGGCTTCAAGCTGCGCGTCGGCTCTACCTAGGCACGGCTGCCGGGCAAGCATGGGGCCGAAGACGCCCGGCGCCTGGCGCTGGCTCGCTGCGCGGCGAGCGCAGGCCCGCCAATTTGAACAACCGGGCCCCGCGTCTTTTTCCTCGCCAAGTTTTGCAATCCGGCCGACGAAAGGGCTGCAGCGGGGGCGCTTGCACGAGGAGCGGAGCACCGGCATCGCGGCTGCGTGTGCCTTCGATCAGGGAGATGGCGAAACGCGAGGGCGCCACGCGGGACCCAGACAGTGGCTGCGCGCATGCTACCAAAGAACCTGCCGGGCCTGCTAGCTAAGGCGAGGGCGCGGGCGGGGGGCGCTTTCCCGTTGCTGGGCACGCTAGGAAACAAGGTGTCGGCTTCCTTCACATGCGGGCGCGCGCAGCAGAAATAAAAGCGCGCGGGCACAGAGCCCAGGGACGGCAGCACTTTAATCACAGGCAGCGACGGCGTGGGCGCGGAGGGGGCGGGCCTTCTCTCTGCCGGCCCTGCCTGCGCGGTCGCTCGCAAAAAGTTTCGCGGCCGGCGACGGCGGCTCTGGTGACACTTGACGCCCCGCCCTTCTTTAAAGTTTAAAGGGAAGCAGGGCCACTGCGCCGCGGCCTTTTGAAGCTCGGCCTGGGATACAACGCCCAACGCCGTCAAACATTTTAGAAACGCCCGCCAATTCTTAGGCTTGCGGACTAAGCACTTCCGATGCGGAGTGGCGCAAACGCGACGAGCCGCGCAGGCCTCTATCCGCGTGCGCGGGTGCAACACGCGCAACGCCTGCGACACGAGGAAAAGGCTGCGGCCTGTCAACCACTGGAAGTGGGTGCGTTGCCGGTGGCGGCGCGATGATACCAAGACCCACAAACGACGCCCCATCTTCGTGATTAGTAGAAGTCGCACGCTTTTTGCTGTGTTTCGCGCTCATGAGTGAACACTTTCCGCAGATTGGCGAAGTCCCGATGGTGCCGCAGCAATAACATTGTGTCCACGCGTAACCCTTTATGAAAATAATCCCACGCGTGACGATCAAGCTCCGCGTCCGCGGCGGCGCCCGCCGCTTTATCTTTTCCAAAATACATGGCGCGCTTCTTGAAGATGTCGGCCTATGAGGGCGCACTCGGCAAAAATTGACAGACCCCCCCGACGGATGGCTTTAACCCGCCCTGTCAATGACTTTAGCCAAAAATGGCCATAGCAAACCAATGCGCCACCGGGCGCCTGGTTGTTGTCCGTCCGAGACACCGAGAACGGGATCCGAGTCCGACCTCGAACGCGTCGCCCGATGGGCGCCAAAATGTGGGCGCGGCGTTGTCAGACCGACAAAGGCGCGCAGGATGAAGAGAGTGAGGCGGGGCGGCGCCGGCACCTCGACCACGAAAAACAACCGCGCCAAACCTCCGCAAGGCTCCTCGGAAACCTTTACAGGGACAGGCTGTGGGCCGTAGAGCGCGCGCCGCCCTTTGATCATTGGCGCCCCCGATGCTGCAAGCAAAGCATTCCAAACAAAACGAGAGCAGCTCTTCTGCGTGCGGACGCAGCGCGCGGCCTCATTAAAGTAAGGCATCACGCCCGCGGCGGGGGGTCGCGGCGTGTTTCCTTTTTGATTGCATGCGCGGGCACGCGCCGGCAGCCCTCGGGATAATTAATGAAAATAAACGCCGCGAACGCCGGCGCGCAAGACGGGGCCAGCAAGCAAAAAGGGCGCCGCCAGCTGTGTAGCAACCCTCCACCAGTGCGGGGCTTTCGGCCCGTGCAGCCGAAGCGCATTGATTCCATCCGAAGGAAGGCCGCCCGGCCTGGCGCCTTGGGCAAGGGCCTCCGCGCTTTTTTCAAAAAAAAAAGCCGGGCGCCTTTTTCTCCCGCACACCAACAGCCAAGGTCTGCCATGTCCTGAAACGCAGCAGGCGGAACCTTCCGCCGGCCGGCGGGCCGGCGAAGGAGTTGGTCGCCCAGGGGTGTTGGGCGCCGATGCTTTTTCCAGGCCCGCCCTCTTAATCCCCGGGCCAGAGCCACGACCAACACACCCGACGGAGGGCGCTGGCCATAGATAGTAAGTCTACTAGAGCGAAGCCACGCAGCGCCGGCGGGCGTGCGCAAGAGAGGGAGGCGGCCCGGCCACATCTCACGACACTCACTGACGCCCGTCGTCGGCCCCAGGCGTTGGCCCCACGGTCACTCCCTTCGTTTCGGGAACCAGGTGGGCCGCCCGAAACACTTCGCAAGCACCCTGCAAGCGCAGCGCGGGGAGTTGGAGCGCACCCCGCTGGCCGACGAAAGGCGCGCACCCCAATTATGCCAGCAAGCCCCCGGCCCAATGGGGCCCCGGCCATGCTTCTGCTTGTTGCAATCCAAATAACAAGAGCCCAATCCGCACACCGGCCGAAACCAATGCAAGGGGTCCGGGTATCTAAGTTTGCTTGCTTCCATGCTAGGTAGCCCCCGGGCCCGAGGCGAACCCGGGCGGGGCCGCCGCAAAAGCAACGCAAGGGCGGGCGCGCCGCGGGGCGGGCAACACAGACGGGGGCCCGCCGGCGGATGCGGTATTCACGCACCATGAGCCGACCGCTTCTCGGCGCGCGCCCGGGACGGGCGCCCGCTATTTGCGGCGGGCCACCAGTCCAATCAACCTCCCGCCCCGCCCGATCGAAACAAAAGGCGCGGCCGGGCGCGCGGGGGCCAAAGCGCCGGGTGAAGTGCCCTGCTGGGGCAGGTCCAACGAGCCAACGCTAGAAAGGAAGCGCGCGCTCAGGTCGGAGAATCGGCCGCGCGAGCGGGGGGGCAGGCGCGGGAAGTAGGCGGCGGGCGCCGATGATACCGCCAGGCACCCATCCGGCCCCCCGCCCGGCCGCGAAGCCGCCGGGCGCGTTCGGGGCTTCCAGCCAATCCAACCACCGCCCAGAGCAACGGCTGCGGGCCTGCCCACCACGGGCTTGGGTTTGGGCGGGGCATGGATGGGGGGTTGATAGGAAAGAGGGAGGCTGGCACAGTGCGCGCGCGCGCGCGCCATCGCTTGAGCCTAATTGCCCCGCCGCTTTTGTCCAGGCCGCCGCCCAACGCGCAAAACAGGAAGGGGGCCAACCTTCAAAAACCAAAAAAGCTGCGGAGGCGGCCGCCAACTTGGGGCCACAAAACGGCCGCCGGGAATGGCTTTGCCCCAACACCCAGAGCGGGCCCGGGGTGCCATGGGATTACGGCTTCCGGAGCGAAGCGTTCCGGGCGGCGGCTGAAAGCCGGCTGCGAGCAGCCTCGGGGAAACCGGTGGAGCTCCTCCAGCAAAATTGAGGACGGCCCCGGAGGTCTGCATGCAAGTTCCAGGGACAGGAGGCCAAAGGCACAAAAAAAGCCCGGGCCGGCAAACGGGGGGGGGGGCTGGGCCACCAGAAACAAAAAACCCGGGCTCGCACGCTCGCCCGGGGGGCGCGGGTGGCGTAGGAGGTAGGCGCATCAAAAGAAGCGCGCCGAAGCAGGCCCGCCCGCCCGCCGATGCCACGACTGAAAAGGAACGATCCATCGCAGCGGCCGCAAAGGCAGCAAAGAGGGGCCAGGCCGCTACCACATTGCCCTGCCGCAGCGCCGGGCGCCGCTTCCATCTGTTCGCCGGCCCCAATCAAAGGGGCCACAGGCGGCTTCCCCCGGCCGATCGTTTTCCTATATTGATTCGCCCCAGCTAATGCGCACGGACGGGCGGGCATCAGCGGAGCGGGCCTTCAAAGAGGAGGGCGCCCGGGCCAAAATAAAACAAAAAAACGGGCGGCCGGCCGCCGGCGGGCACGCAGGCTTGCCAGCGGGCTCGAACAACCCCCCGCCCCCCGCCCCGATGGGTCGAGCAGGCCAACCAGGCACGGAGGTGGGCTCCTGCTGCTAGGCTTTGCGCAGTCAAAGGAGCCGGCAGGCCGCACAAGATTGCCGGCGCCGCCCGCGGGCGCGCCCGCTGGCGTGCGCGGCGGCCGCGCAAGTAGTCCGGGGCCAACCAATAGAGGGCGCGCGCACTTTCTTACTAAATGGGGCAGACTGGCGCGCGGCCCCATGCCCGAGGCGCTTTGGTTTGCTTGGCGATCCGGGGCCGGCGTGCCTGCCTCCCCCAACCCAATTGGTTCCCCCCGGAGGGCCGACGCGGTGCTTTTGCGGTGCGTTGCACGATCGGCCGGCCGGGACGAGGCCGCCCGGCCGAATGCCAAAAAATAAAGAGAGTCGCCGCGCGGAGGCGGCGCAGGTCATTCGGTCAAAGACTGACAGACAGACCCACACACAGGCCACGGACGTTCGCGTGGATTTCGTGTGGCTGTCCCTGTCGGGTCGGCAAAATAAAATAAAGCGGGCTTGGCGATCAACGGGCGGACGGGCCGGGAGCGAGAGCCATTGGCCTGCCCCAATGGATGCAGGCAAGCAGCAGCCGAAGCGCGCGGCGCGTGCCACGAACTGCCCGCCCATCCCTCCACGCATCCATCCATCCATCTTGACTTGAAGATGGTACGCCCGGGCGCGCAAGTTCCGCACTTCTGATGGTGCGCGTCTGGTGTACACACTTCACTCCCGCCAGCTCCGCACTTCGGATCGGGCAGGGCAGGACTTACTTTTTAGGACTTTAGGCGGTGCGCCCCGGCTATGCATTGCAAAAGTATCGCACTCGTACAAATGCGTTACCAAATATAGCCGCCAAGGCGGGGGTAGTGAGGTCCCGCGGGTTTCGTTTTTTCGACGGAACGGCGCCGGGTCTTTTTGCTCTTTTCAGAGGAGTAACGCTTTCCCGCACACTATGGCCCCACAAGGGCCTCCGCCGGGGTCGGCCCTGTGGGCCCCCCAAATCGGGGCCATAGCGTGCGGGCTGGCTTGCTGCTTTTGGCGGGATTTGCGTCCTTTGGTTTTTTTTGTTGAAAAGCCGCGCCCCTGCCGCCTCCTGAATCGAAACGCTTTCCCGCATGCTATAGCCACCCCAGGGCCCCCACCCATCCCGACTCCATGGGCTCCCAAAATCGGGCCCATAGCATGCGAGTTAGCTTTCAGCTTTTGGCGAGCTTTCCGCTCTTTGTTTTCTTTTTGTTGAAGAGTCGCACTTTTTGGATTGCTCCCCGCATTACAAATGCCCGACTTTGGTGGCCGGCTTTGCGACCTCGGGAAGTCGGCAAAAATGGCGACCATAGCATGCGGATTCGCAGTTTTTTTCGTTATGGTATTTTTTCGGCGCCCCTTTTTGGGCGCCCCAAATCGGCAAAATTAGACGCGCTGTGCGCCTCAGAAGGGCGCTCCTGTGCCGGCTTCCCTGCGAGCGTCGTTTTACCCAGCGGCGACCGATAGAATCCGCTGGCGATTCGGTGCCAGGTCAGCCAGGGCCGCTTGAAAATTGAAATTTTTTTTTGTGCAAAAAGCCCTCCGACCGCTTAGAAACTGCCGGTCGTTTTGCTGTTTGGGTGGCAAAAAAGCTCCCTGGTTAGAACCGTTCGGTGACCTCACTACATACAAATTTGAATTTCCCCAGCATGAGAAATAAAATTTGTCATGCGGATTTACCTTATTAAGAAAAAAATTTGCGGCGCATGAAAGCAATGACTACGAGCACTATACTTCTGCACAGGATGCCGGCCCTCGTAGCTAGTTCGCACTTCTGATGGTGAGACACCACAAAGGCCGGCCGGTTCCGCGCTTCTGATGGTGCTGGCAGCCAGGCTTAGGCCCCGCGCCCACACAATGGCGGCCAGGCACGGGCGCCGCCCCCATCAGTGGCAGCGCCCGCGCGGGCACTCACAAAGGAAAGGCCCGGCTGGCTGATTGCGAGGGAGGCTGGCACGGGCCGGCCGGCGCGGGCCTTCAACGCCACCCATACTTACATATCTCAGACCCCGGCGGGCTGCGCTTTCTAGCCGGGCAACCAGCCGCCTTGGATGGGCAACAGGCTCACATCGCTGCACCTGCGAAAGGCGAAACACGGAAGCCACCGAAACGATGGCAGGCCGCCAGCGCCCAACGCAACACTGGCGCCCCTGGAAGCAGGCGCACGCCGTGCGCGCTGAGTTTCCCGCGGACTCTCCTAAGAAAGACTGGGCGCGCGCAGTCGGGCCCCCCCTCCGCAGCCAGGCTGGGTGGCGGCCCAAAAAGTCTGTCAGGCACCACTTCGCCCCCCCCCCCGCCGACAGAACACCTCCACCGCCTCTCTCCCGAGCCGCGAGAAACAGAGGGCCGCGGGCGGGCTGCCACAAATTGAGCGGCGCGCGGTGGTTTCCGCTATCGCACCTAGAGGCACAGCCCCACCACACGACCCCCAGGCGCGTCGGCAAGAAAATCACTATGATAAATAAATGGGCGCTGCTGGCGAAATTTCATCGATTTCGGCGCTTAAGGGCTGGAAGCGATCAAATTTGGCCAGCGCTTTTTATTTTGTTTTAAGCCAGCGGCCGGGCGCGTTGAATAAAACCATCCGTCCGGGGGGGGGTTAATTCTTGGCTCTATGTACCCGCTTAAGTCCAGGTTGCCGTTTTTCGTACGCGCAGGGATAGGGGTAAACAAAGGCAGGCTGTAGAACTCCCACGACGGAGTTTCCTTTTTCGTTTTCTTGTTGCTTCCGGCTGTATATTTACTGACGGGCAGCTTCAGAGGTGGCGCGAGGAAACCGTGTAGCTTCTTCGCATCTTTATTATCATGATAGAATTGCTGGATAGTCAAGAGCTCGGCGATTCCACCGAGCGGAAGTCTCTTCTTCTCGTCCTCCGGACCGGCCGGCGCACTTTTCATATCTATACCGAGGCCACTCGGCAGTCGTCGGTCCGCAAAGTACAACAGCTCATAAGTGGTCCCGCCAAGTCCGAGGCGGGCGTCCCATTTTGGATCGTCCTGGTGATAGTTGCCGGGGAAAGGCAAAGCAGGGAGGTCTTCATACGACGCGTACGCGAGCTTCCAATCCATCACCCCACTCCCCTGCGGCTCCAACATGGAGAACACTTCCTCGCCTTCGGGCGAATAAAATGAGTCGCCCAAAAACGTGGGCTCGTCGCTAAACTCGGCGTCTGCTAGCACCTCGGTCAAACCAGATGCCATCTTATTGGCTCCATCGATGTAGGCAGCCGCGAAAGTGAGTAGGCCCAACATCATGGACAAAGCGACAAGCGCCAGCTCGACCTTCAGCTTGCCGAGAATTTGCATCGCTGGGTAAGTTGTTCGCGACAATGCGTGAAGCTGAAAGTGACAGTGAGTTTGACAAATTTGCTACGACAACGGAAATGACCGTCGTGAAGATCCTCGAGCGTGCGTGCCCGTTTGCTAGTTGGCTAGCAAAGTTTTTTCCAAAAGGCTGCCGGTGTGCTCGTTAGCTGAGGTTCAAGCAAATGGTCCCCAATGCGGAGTAAATTTGCTGGAGAGCTCGTCTTCGCGGGCCCACTTTCAATGTAACTCAGAGACCAGCTTTCTTTTGCAAGTTTGGGAAAACGCCCGCCGTGTCCTCATGGCTTTGGCACAAATCCAAGAGGTCCAGTCCTTGACGACAGCCACACGGCGGCCGGGCGGCCAATGTTAGGTAGGGCAAAATGCTGTTGGCGCCCGCCCTGGACATCGAACCAGCAACATCACCCCCGAATTTCCGGCCTGCGTGTTTCGGCGCGGGCCTTCCGCTGGGCAGCCATCACCCCTGCCAACTGCGTGGAAAATTAATTGGAGCGCGCCCAAGGCAGAAAAGGACCCGGCAGGGACGACGCAGCGCCCTTGGTCGCTCTTGTGTTTCATCTTTTGAGGGGCGCCACTGTCGCGAAACCACCCAGCCAGATACCCGGCGGGCAGCCGGCAGCCCTTATGGCAACGCAAGACGCCCAAAAATCGCGGCCGCGTGCGTGCGGCCTGCGCCTGAGGCGTCTCCATTTTGCGCGCGGCCTCGTGCTTTCGTTCGAGGATTCTCTTCGGCGCCACAAATCGCCTGGCTGCAGGAATCGAAGGCGGCGGCGGCGGGCGCCCCAGAGCAAGGGCCGCCACTTTGCCGGCCCGCGGCGTTGTGTTTTTTTTTATTAAATGAAAAAGAGAAGGCCGGGGAAAAAAATTGCCGGCCTGGCACTTTTGCAAAAGTTCGCAAGAGGCTTCCGCCGAAAAAAAAAAGAACACCAGGGGAGGCTATGAGCGACTATGCCACGGGTCACACGAGTGGCGGGGGAGCGGCCTCACAACCGGCCCGTGCGCGCCCCATGCTATGGTTTTTCAATGGGGTAGGGAAGGGCCCAATGGGGACTCTGCGCGAAAAAATGCGCGCTGCCGGTGAGTGGGTTCACGGGCAAGAAGGGCCCCAAGGGGCTCCCGCGCTGCCCATTAGCGTCCCTTTTGCTGCGGCTGTGGTGAGCGCGGGGCAGGAAAAAGATTAGCGAGGAGTCCCTGCGCGCGCCCGGCAGTACCGTGGCGCACGCGGACAGTGGCGTGGCCCCTCCCTTTTGATGTGGTACTTGCTATGGGAGCGCCAGGCTTAAAGTCGGTAACTATACAAAAATCATCTGTAAGGCACGGAAATCATTGAGAATGCGAAAAACTAAAATCATGGCACACGCATCGAAATGTCTGCTCTGCTGCAGATGAGGCTACTGCGGAGGATTCGTATTCTAATTGGCTGAGGGCAGTTTAGAATTAGGGACGCTGCTGAACAGCGTGAGTCTCAGTGACCTGCACCTGCTTGCACTCGCTCCAAACAGAGTGACCAATTGTCCCTATAGGCCCAGCCAAATTTTTTGTCAACATGCGGCACAGCTGGTCAAATGAATACGAAGCTCCGTGTTGAGCTGGTATTGCTTTAGTGCACAAGCATGCCAAATCGTTGTCGTTTCAGAGATTCAGATTTCCAGCCTGACGCTTCTATACCTGTATCTCCAAAGATCCTGCCGGAAACCCGGAGTATGCTTTTGCGCTCACTTCTTAAAGGCGCTCTGATCCACAACAGCGACCTGCGAAAAATTGGATGATGATGCTGGTTGTCGTCCGGCGTAGCCTTTACCTTTTGTCGCGATCGAAAAACGCACATGCAACTCGAACTACATAGGTGAACAAGGTCGCTGAAAGGTTGCAAATCCAGTGGTGCCAATAGAAATCATAACCAACGGCAACGCCGCAGCGCCCCCCTTCGGCAACTAGTGCTTTCAACGCGGATGCTGCGCACGGCTAGTTTTCTATTTCACATAGACGAGAAAATATTACAGTGTAGCTTTGGGGCGATAATATATCTTGCCCGCTACTTGTTGGTCTTGCCTTCGGTGTTCGTAATGTTCACTTTTGGTCAAAACACCCACTCTATCAACTGCAAACATATTACAACGATCTGGAAAAAAAAGGAATCTGCAAGTATGTGATGCTAATTTTCGACCATCATAGAAAAACGAGAAACTGGCATGGTGCATGAGCAGCAAAAGACAGTCATTTTTTTTTGCCCCTCGTGGAGCAGGGCTGTTCGCATGTGGGGTAGGCATGAACAAGGCTTCGCATAGGAAATCTGCACTGTTAGTACAGGTACAGGATGCATCTTCGACACTGACTACGAGTCGTGGAAATAAAACCTGCGTGACTAACTCCCGCGAAGACCTTCCAGACCCAGACATACGCGCAACTCATATAATTACCCGCCTGATGTTTGCAATTAATTTCCAGAAATCGAGCAATTAATTTCCATTACAAGAAAAAATTATGGTCCGCGCAAATTGTCTAGATGTTGAGGCAGCATTTCCCATTTTTTGTGAAGGGAGTGGGAGGATCACTTTTCACTTTGAAAATAACATCATCTAGGGTCGTCTCGCGAGACCAGATACTATGCAAAAGTACTAGAGCTGAGCACTCAACAAGAACAGTATTAGTAAACTCACACCACTTTTGAAACTCTTGTGCTTGGAGATGATCTAGTAATTGATGTCTTTTGTCTTCATTTTTTTTTGTTACGGTTGAAATGGATGTTGGGAGGCGAAGATTGTGCAGCTCTTCTGCATGATGTTGTATGTCTACTACAACCAGTGACACACGCCTGTGGCTTTTTTTCAATGAACACGAGAACAGCTAGGCGTCGCGATATTAACGAAAATAGAACAGAGCACGCTTGATCGAGCAGCGCCTTCTTTTGCAGAAGAAACCGAGTGGCTTGCTTTTGGGCTTTGCGCTCGAAAAAAAAGGTGATGGCGCAGCAGAAAAAGCTACAAAGCTTCTGAAGAATACCTTCTGAAGGTTTATCCTAAAGCCTACGCGTTGGGTTTCAGAGAAAGCGGCGTTTTCAATCGGGCAAACAGATTCGCGCGCAACAAAAGCAGCACATTTTGCTGGACCTTCTGAAGATTCTTCAGAAGATCCACCTTCAGAAGGTTCAAAAGCCAAAACCTTCTGAAGGTGTGCTGCTTTTACTTTTTCGATTTTTGTCAAAGTGCGACAATTTTGAAAAAACCTTCAGAAGATTTTGAGTCTTCTGAAGGTGTTTTTGGTTGTCCTGATTTTTGGCCATTTTTTACGAGAAAAAAAGCGGCAGTCTTCTGAAGGTTTGCGACGTTGCTATATCGTGCAGACCTTCAGAAGATTGCCTACCTTCTGAAGGTTTAAAAAAGTCGTTTTTTAGTCTTCTGAAGCTTTTTTTGTCAAAAAATCGAAAAAAATCTTCAGAAGGTGAAAAAAAACCTTCAGAAGACTGAACCTTCTGAAGGTTGCAAAAAATGACCTCCGTTTTTGTTTTCGCGAGCTAATTCTGCGCTTTTTACAATGAAAAATAGCCGGCCAGTTTTTTTGACCTTCTGAAGGTTGAAAATGCAACTTTTACCTTCAGAAGCTCTTCAGAAGGTCAGACCTTCAGAAGCTTTGGGAGGAACAATGACATGTCTTGCCCTTATAGTATACGAGCCCTTGGCGCGGGCCCTTCGGGGGCCCGCTGGGCTCGCAAAGTCGATTCCTGTAGTGTTGGTAAATACGGCGCTTGGGTGGTGGTGCTTTGGGCTTTGGTCTTGGTTGGTTGCGAGTCGCCAAACTCGCAACCAGCCCGGAAGGTGACGGCACTAATAGCAAGCAATAGCAAGCCTTTTTTCTTTTCCTTTGCTTTTGGCTCTTTGCTATTGCTTGCTTGCTATTGCTTGCTGGCTATTGCTTGCTTGCTATTTCTTGCTTGCTATTGCTTGCTTGCCATTGCTTGCTTGCTATTGTTTGCTGGCTATTGCTTGCTTGCTATTGCTTGCTTGCTATTGCTTGCTTGC